TAATAGTACTTAATTACCTTTTAGTTTTATAAATTAAAAAATATAGAAACCTGGTATAAAACCCATAACTTTAAAATACTTATAATTATAAAATACTTTTAAGTTTAAAAATACTACCTTAAGGGCAGTAAATTCCTTATTAAGGTACTTATAAATTATAATAATTTATAATAGTTTATAATAACCAAGAACTTAATATAAAAACAAGTATAATAAGCTAAAAAACTTATAATTTTTAATTTTATTATTAAACACTGCCTAGGGGCAAAAAACCTGGTAAATACTTTAAATAAAAAAGTAAACTATATTTTTAAAAAAGGAAAGAAAAAAGCCATAGGTAAAATAGTTTTTTATAAATTATAAAAGTACCTAAATAACTAACTACTACTACACCTAGAGTTTAAATTATAACTTAATATATAAGCTATTATAGTAAATAAGGACCCACATGTAAATAAATTATAACTAAGTATTATAAAACTACTTTAAGTAGCCTAAAAATATAATAAAAAATTTAAAAAAATAAGGAATAACCTTGTAGATCTAGACTATAAAAAAAACCTTAAATATTAAAAAGTAATAAATAATAGCTTATTATACTTTAAAAACCAAGTTTATATACTAAAGTTAATAGCACTTTATAAAAAAATTATAAAGGTAAATTATAATAAGCCCTAAGGTGGGTATTAAGGTGTTAATATAATTATTATAAATATTTTTTAAAGGTACTATTAGCTAAATATAACCAAGTATATTAAAAAATATATTAAAAAGTGTAATAATTACTAATAAATTATAGTTTATAAGTATAAATTATATAAATTATTAAAATTATTAAGCCCACCAAGGGCACTTATAAAATAAATTAGTATAGACTTTATTACTAGTTTATTACTTATAAAGTATAATAAGCATGTATATAATATTATTTTAGTGGTGGTTAAGATATATACCAAATTTATATAATATATTTTATGCTTAAAAAATATTAACATGAAATAACTTATAAATACCCTTATAAATAATATTTTTTACTTTATTAGTATATTAAAAAACATGGTTAGTAATTATAAAAGTTTTTTTACTAGTATATTTTAGGCTATACTAAGCCACTACCTAGGCGTAAAATAAAAATTATTTACTATATATTACCTATAAATAAATAACTAAATTAAAAGGTAAAACCAAGTTGTTAAATATTACCTTTACGCTTATATTAACTAGTACTAGGATAATTAATTATAATAAATTAAAATAATATAATTTATAAATAATAACATGTATAAGTAATTTATAAGTTACATACTTACTAAAGCTTTTATAAATTTAAAGGTAATTATACATATTAATATTAAGGGACCTAACCAGGTATTAAAAATTAAACTTTAAAAAGCTATAAAGTTTAAGGAAATCCGCGTGAATTTAAAAAAGTAACTATAAAAGTTAAAAAAAGTTATGGTAATTTAATATAATAAAAAGCACAAGAAAATAAGCTTTAAAATTAATAACTATGTTATATTTTATATAAAAAATATTAAGTTAATAAAACTAAATTATAAATTAAGTAAGACACTTATTAGCCTATTTTTAATAATTATAAAATAAAAAAAATAGTTTTATAAGCTACTACTCCTACTAAATATATAATAATTATATAATATTTTTTATATTATACTTTTAAAACCTTACCGCGGCGACCCATCCCAAGCACTAAATATTAATTTTATACTAGTAAATAGTAAAAAAAAATACTTTATTAAAAAAATTTTTAATATTTATAAATTTAAGGGCAAGGTATAATACCTTATAAAATAGCAAGGATAAAATAATATAAAAAATAATATATAAAAACTAAAGGCTTATATAACTAAAATTATAGTACTTAAAAATTTTAAAAAAACCTATAAGAATAAATTATGTAAAGTAAAAAAATACTAAATATAAATATTTACGCCTATAACCTACGCGTATTTATAAAGAAGAAAGAAAATATATTATTTTTACTAATTAGTGGCGCCCGCAGGGCCTTTTAATAAAAAAAAAAAAATAAAAAAATAAAAAAATAATAAAAAACTTAAATAAGTGGCTAAGCCGCGCGGCGCGTGGTACTTAATATATATAAAATAAAAACCAAGCTTATAAGGGCGCTAATACTAACACCTAGTATAAAAGCAACCTTAATAAAAATCCTTAAAAGCGCTAAAGTGTAGCATACCCTGTACTAAAAATAATAAAAGTTTATAAAAAAATTAATAATATAATATAGTATAAATTAAAATATATAAACATATACTTAATAGCTAAAGCTATATTAATATAAAAAATAATTATAGTTATTAAAGCAGTGCTAAATAAAGGTTTAAAAACTAAAAAAAAAACTATTATAATAAATTAATAAACTAAAATATAATAATACTACAGGAAGGAAACTAACTTATATAATAAATTATTATTTTTATTAAGGGGGGTACTAACCTGTAAAGCAAAGTTAAATATAAATATAATAATATTTATAGGGTTGGCTACCTGTGTATTATTAATTATAATAGTTTATTTAATAGCTACTTTAAATACTTAATAAGCCACTCTTAAAATAGCAAGGTTTTTATAAGCTTGTGGATTACTAGCTTTTATATATATAATATTAATAGTATTAAAAATATCTTATAATTAGTTATTTATTAAAGTAATATTAATAGCTATATACTTTAAAAGCGCCCTTTTTATATTATAATAAAACTAGCACTTCTTACCCCCCTGGTTATAAATAAGGGCTTTTATTATAATATTTATAGTAAATATATTTTTATTTTAGTGCCCCGTGGTAGTAACACATATAATATATTATAAAATATAAAAATTAAGTAGTAAAGTTATAAAGCCTAGGAATAATAAAAAAAAAATATTAATAAAAGCCTTATTAGCAAGGGCGGTGGGGATAGCAGCAGGGGTAGTAGTAATAATAATAATAATAAGGGCATATAAGTATTAAAATTAAGTTATTTTAATAGCTAGTATATTAATAGTTATTAATATATAAGTAAAGGGCAGGAAAATATAATTTTATATATTAAAGGTAAAATAAAAAATAAAGGCTAAAACTAAGGCTTAACTACTATAATAAAAAAATATAAAATAAAATATTATAATAAGATAAATAACTACTAATAATAATATTTAAAGCATAATATAAAATTATATTAAATATTAAAATAAAAAAAATATAAAGTAAAGGGCAAGCGTGGGAAACCTTAAAAAAAAAATAGGGTTAAAAACACGTGGTATAATAAAGGCTATAATAAAGGTAAACTATATTTAATTTAACTACTAAAAATAGTTTTAAAAATATAAAAATAATAAGAGCTAAATATAAAAAGCTTATTAATTAAATTAAAAAGGCAAGTACGCAGCAGGATATAAAAAAAAGGTAAATAAAAAATTAATATAGTAATATATTAATAGCTAAAATAAAATAACTATATATTATAAATAGCTACTAAAGGTATTAAAAAAAGTGTAAAAATAAGGAGATTTAGCTATTTAAAGCTTAAAGCTTTATTATAAAAACTAAGTATAAAGTAAAATAAAATATACAGGCTAAATAATACTAACATAAAACTAATATTATTAAAATAAATAATATAATACTTAAAAAACATAAAAAAAAGTAAATATAAGGTATTTTAACCCTAAAAATATAATTAAATAATTAAAAAGTAATAAAAATATAATAAAAAGATGTATACTTATAGCAGGCATTTTTAATTAAGTTATAAAAAAAACTTAAAAAAAAAAAAAAAAGATTATAAAGGTGCTTTAATATTAAAACTAAAATATTATACCTAGCTACCATAAGTAGTAACACTATATTTAAATTTAAAAGTAAAGTAAGGTAATTAAATTAATTTTTTATACTTAACTTTAAATATAAATTATATATAAACTATAATACTTTATAAACCTAAAAATAGCTTATTTTATAACACTTAACAAGATTTATAATTTAAATTATATTTTATAAAATATAAATATAAATTTATGGATTGCAAGGGCGTGATTACTTAAAAAAAAAAAGTATTATTATTATTATTATAATATTATAACTATATAATATTATAATAATATAATTTAGCAGCCTAAGGCCGCTAGGTAAAAAAACTTTAGTATTAAACTAGCCACGTGCTAAGGCAGTAGTAGTTATATAATATATAAAATACTAAGTTTAACTTTAAACTTTAACTTAAAAAAATTAGTAATTAGTTCCTACTATAAATACACAACGCCTTTCCTATTATAGTAATTCATGTTCTTTTAAGCTTACCGCAGTATACAAACGCGACTCACATTTAAAGTATTATAATAGTTATAATTAAAAAATTTTAAATATTAAAGCTCCAGAAAAGATATATATATTTATTATTAAAAAGTATAAAAGTACTAGTATTTAGTGTTATTTACTTTTTTACCTAAGCAAAATATTTAGTACCTTAATTAGCTATAATTTAGGCTTAGCGTATTTTAATTAGTTAATTAAGATTTATTTTTTATCACGTGAATATTAAATCTAATTATTAAAAAAAACTTTAACATTTTGCTGTGTTGGTCATATTCTATTTTATAACAACATTTTACCATCCCTAGTCATGACGTTGAAAGTCAGCAATACCAAGACAGGGCGGCAGAGGCGTTTCGGGGGACGTTCAACCAATGGAAAGCTACAGTCGCAAAACGCTTACTGGATCAGGTCTAGTGGCGAGAGCGGCTCATGTTTCCCCATCTGCGACGGCAGCGATCTGCAGCAGTCAGGCCAATGGGAAGCCGCCATCGCAAGCCAAATACTGTATCAGGGCTAGCGGCCGTAAGCGGATCCGCAGTTTCCCAATTCGGCAAAATCCGTCTGCCTGGACAAACAGACCAAGTATAAAGGAACAAAGAAATACATCGATTGCAATGTTGAATTCAACAAACAGTTCTCCTTCATCAATCACTCTATATTCATCATGAAAGCCTCGCTCTTCTCCGGCCCAGTTGTGGGACTTTTCGCTTCTTTGTTGCTCAATCGTCCCGTCCTCGCGGCCAACAATACCGATCCTGACCCTCCTACTTTGCCCCTAAGCTCAACCTCAAACTTCAACTTCAACTTCCTAGTCGGCCTCAGTAACGCCCTGAGTGGAGGCGCCGACATTGGCCCCATTCTGGGCGTTGCTCAAAAGACTCAGGCAGCACCAGGCGACTTCCCGTTCTATACCGCGGCATTCCACGAGCTGGCCCTGGAGACCAAAGCCCAAGCCGAGGACCCCGACAACGCATTCGACCCTATTAACGTGCGAGATGCCTGGTTCTCCACAGCGCACTACTTCCGCCGTGCCGACGAAGTCAACCACCGCAACTGGAGCAATCCCCAAATCAACAGCTTCTGGGAGGAGCAGACAGCGGCCTTCAACAAAGGCCTAGCAGCCCTGCCCATCCCCGCTCAGCGTATCCAGATTCCAGCTCGCGAGGACAACTTCACCATCGAAGCCATCTGGTACGCGGCGTCCGAGTCAAACAGCACCAAACTGCCGACACTCATTATCGGGAACGGCCTGGACGCCGCGCAGGAGGATTCATACCACCACTTTGTCGCGCACGCACTCCTCCGAGGCTGGAACTGCATTACCTACGAAGGCCCCGGGCAGCCCACTGTCCGCCGAACCCAGAACCTAGGCTTCATCCCGGAGTGGGAGCGCGTCGTCACCCCCGTTGTGGACTACGTTCTCTCCGAGAAGGCACACGTCGTGGACACGGATAGGCTCGTGCTCCTGGGCAACTCATTCGGCGGATACCTTGCCGGCCGCGCCGCAGCATTCGAACCACGACTGTCGGCTGTTATCATGATCGGCGGTCCGTGGGACGCCTACGCCGGATTCACGACGCAGTTGCCGTCCGAGCTCCTGCCCATATACGAGGCTGGGAACTACACGCAGTTTGATGACACGGTCCTATCTCTTCGCGAGGCCGGCGAACTCCCTCCTGATGCGGCGTGGGGTCTCGATTACGGACTGTGGGCGATGAAGACGCACTCGCCGTCAGAATTCTTTAACTTGACCAAGCAGTATCGTCTGGACGATGTTGCCGACCGCATTGAGATGCCTGTTTTTATCGCCGATGCGGAGTTCGAGTTCGTTTCTAAGGGGCAGGGGCAGCGCGTGGCAGATGCCATTGGGCCTAATGCCCAGCGCCACCTGTTCAATGGCACCGCGGGCTATCATTGCCAGACGGGGGCGTACCAGGAGCTCACGAGGACGATGCATGCGTGGCTGCATAAGACTCTGGGTAAGGGGCAGGGCCGTTCGAAAAGCGCCTGAGGGCGATAGGTATACTGATGTGCTTGAGGTGGATTATTTCTTTGCTGCTTATTACACCTTTGTCTTTTTGTTTCTGGTTCTTTGTACCTGCTGCGTTGTTTACTTTGAGCTGCTGTGGTTGAGGAGAGGAATGTGATTCCAATTTAGCATGTGCACTTGATTCGAGTGGCCTGTGGGCTTTTACACAGTAAAGGCCAGGCCAACTCAGAGAAGGGATTGCCAGGTTCTCCAGCTTGTTTTACAACTCAATGGTTTACTCATCTGTATCCCTCGCGTAGGTGAGTTGTAAGGGGGATTATGAATAAGAGGCCTGTTTCTTGGTATCGGTTTACTCGTGGTTAATAGACCACCATAACCTGTAAACAGCATATGAGTATACTTACCAGTCCGTGGATGTATGTGAGTGCTCCTTTGTCTCATTGCCATTGCCCTAAGCGACAACTCTCCCCTGCTTCTCACCTTCTCTCCATCCGCCATCCTCCTCTCCAACAACAAGCTCACCTGCACTTTAACCCAAGGGATCGACTTTCATCGTTCTCACTGTTCTCCATATTCAATCTCCACCCTTCACAGACTTTGCCGCTTGAAACAACTCTAGAAGACCGCAGGTATGGCATTCCGTTTTATTTCATTGCGGTCCCAGTACCAGCAGGGGCTGGCTGCACACGAAGCGAAATCTTCCTACTTGGTCGTCATGTCGCGTCGACGGGCCATGCGCGGGGAGTCGATTTCATGGGCAGGCTTTTGGCGCAGCGGTGCGGTAGATAAGGAAGCCGCAAGAAGAGAGGATTATGGGTTATATCTATGAGGTGAGCGTGTCTGCTGTTTCTATCTCCTACCGGTGACTGTCGGGCCTTGAGACCGGCGAAGCCGATTGAGAACGTCGTAAGCGTCTAGATGCCTGTGACCTGACGCTCGGCGGTCCTCTTTGCCGCCGTTGATCGCTCAGCCTTGCCTGCGCCCAGCCCGTTGCACAAAAGGCTCATGGCCATGGCCTGGTCGCAGGGTGCACTGAGTTCGTTGAGGCAATTCTTGAATGCTACAGGCAAAGGAACGACCACGGATTTGGTATCAACCTGCTTGTGCAACTGGACAATCGGTTGGCCTCGGGTGATGAAGATTCACACCTAACGAGCACTCTGCGCGCCACCAAAGGGTTCAACTTATTTGGCAGTGTGGCAGATGCAGCCTCGGGTCACAAATCATATGGAAATTATGGTGAGAGCATGGAAAACCGCTGTGGATGCTGCGGGGAAAGGATTGGATAGAAAGGAATGAGGCTGGGCAGCGCAGTCCGCAGCATGTCGCGCACTTCATCACATCCCGCCGCGGCAGAAGCAGTTTGGGATTCCATTGATGTTGGTAGATGAGGAGATGATGGATTACGATGAGTGGAAGAGGCGATTGAAAAGCGAGTGGGATGTCTGAGGGCCCACAACTCCACTCCATCCCACTTGTCCTCCTCTTCTCCGATCGGATCCTCGATTCTTTCTCCATCCTCACTCCAGCCTGCCTTCATCGAGCGACCATGTCTACCCGCCGAGTCCAAGTTCTCTTGTCCGTCGACTTCGACGCCGTCTCCGGTTTTCTAGGCACAGGCGCGTCGCCCACTAACGGCCTCGCCGATTTCAGCAGCGGTTACTTCGCGGCCCAGGTCGGCGTACCCCGCTTGCTGCGTCTGTTTGAGAAACATGGCATTTCTTCATCGGTGACCTGGTTTGTGCCCGGTCACTCAATGGAGTCTTTTCCTGAGCAGACTAAAGCAATTGTCGATTCAGGTGCCGAGATTGGATGCCACGGATATGCACATGAGGGCGCGACGCAGTTGACCGAAGCTCAGGAGAGGGATGTTATCGACAAGTGCGTCCAGCTTGCTACCGATCTCACGGGGAAGAAACCGCTTGGTTGGAGGGCGCCGCTGTATCAGCTTCGGGAACATACTGTCAAGGTTCTTGAAAAGCATGGCTTTTTATATGGTGCGTCACACTCACCCAGTCTATATGCCTGTTCTAACATCCACAGATACCTCGTTGACCCACCACGACTCCTCCCCATACTTCCTGGTATCGAGAACAACTCCCCAACCAATTGACTTCTCTCCATCAGTCTCAGCCTCGTCCTGGATGCACCCGCTTCCTCCACCGGCACCACGGACAGCAAGCACGCTGGTCGAAATCCCGTGCAACTGGTACATGGAAGACATGACGCCAATGCAATTTCTCCCAGCCGCCGCCAACTCGCACGGCTTCGTGAGCCCCGAGACGATCGAGAAGAACTGGAAGGCGCGGTTTGAATTCTTGTACAATGAGACTATTGATGGTCGGAAGCAGGACTTTGTGTTCCCGCTCGTCCTCCATCCCGATACAAGTGGGATGGCGCATGTTATTGGTATGATTGATCGAGTTATTGGGTGGTTGAAGGGGTGGGAAGACGTCCAGTTTGTTACGTTTGGGGAGTGTGCGCAGGGTTGGAAGGAGAGGCACTAGCGAATTTTGCTTTCATGTATAACTTGTGGATGTAAATCTAAGTAGGCCGTTACATTTTATATGACTATCTTAGTACAAGGTACCTCATCAGTGCATCTTGGCTTGACCAGGTTTCTCCTATCCAATTTCCGATTCCCGTCCCCTAGCGATTCTTCTGCTAGTCATCAATAAAACGATCAATTCTTGCATCAAACCAGCCGATATCATCTCAAACCTCCTTCTGACTCCCCTCCTTTCTCTCCGCTTGATCCCTATACCCTCGTCAGTACCACTCTACAATACCATAAATCACGAAGAGAACATACCTCATCTGCACCCTCCTCAACCCCCTAAGCAACCTCTCAAACGGATCCCCCTCATCCCCCATCCCCATCCTCATCCGTCTCCAAACCTCATGCCCCTTCCCATCCTTCCCAATAACCCGCACCTTAACCTCCTTCCCCTTCTTCACCCACCCACGCACACTCCCGCCCATACCCAGGCGATCCAGCTTATCGCCCTCGATCGCACGCCCGTCTAACTCTCGAGACAATAGCTGGGAGAAGTCCCTGTTTGCAGGACTGATGAACAGTGGATCCGTTCGGCCCGACGGACTGAATTCAGATTCGAAACACGCGAATTCGGATTCGGGTGTTGTGGTGGATGGGTCGTAGGCTGTGCGGGAGATTCCGACGGCGTTGTCGGTGCCGGAGCACGTTCCTTCTGCGCGTTCGGGGCGCAGGATTGTGCGTTCTAGGACTTCGATTTCGATGTCGTTTGTGCTTGTTGGGGATGAGGATGAGGGGTGGGTTTGCGGGGTGGCCGGTTTTTGGGGGTGGGTTGTTGATGAGATGAGTCGGGATTGGGATTGGAGTGATGAGAGGCGGGGGAGGGCTGTGAGGCCTCGAAGCCCGCTTGTTAAGGGCCTAATTCGGAATGCCATTTTTGAACTAAGGTGGTATTTTGCCGTGCCGTGCAGGTATATAGCGAGCAAGGCCTCAACTCAATCTCCGTTTCGGTTGTTCGATGAAACCTCCGATCAGACAGGTGATCTCGTCGATGCGTATCGTGTACGGTCGTGAGGCAATCGAAGATCAAAGCTTGACGTTGAAGATCGACCTCGCGGTGATGGAGGGTAGGAAGAAGGACATTTAACGATGGGGGTGCGCAGCGTATCCATGGATCACGATCTCCTGACGTCACAGCTGCACCACTCGACGAAAGCCTCGAAGCAGTTGAGTCCGTTGAGCCGTGGAGCTTCCGTGGTATTTGTTATGAACGCCGATTGGATGATGGGGCTCGGTGTTTTCTGCTTCCACCGAGGGTTTCAGTGCGGAGTGACGAGAGTGGTTGGGGTGGAAGTATGAATGGGGAACGTGGAACCTGGGGAAAGCTAAAGCTGAGCTGGAGCTGGCGAGCTTGAACCGTGGGGCTTTAAAGGACGGATTAGTTCGCCACGTTGGGTCTGGATGGTTCGATACAAGTGGCCTCGTGATACGGTTACTCTGACGCATTTCTTTCAACGAATGTTCGCTATTCTAGAAGCCATCGCGAATGATACTATTGGCAGAGAGTATAACGCTGATACTGAAAGGAGAGATATATCTTTTCCGATAAATGCACTGACATTGATATTCACAACAAAATGCCGCGCAAGGTCGTCTCATACAAGATTTGCCAACGAATGGCCGTCGAATGTCCTATCTGATATATCGCAACGCTCTCATCGACTGGAAAGTCCTATAGACACCGAACAGAGTCGCTCCAACACCGACGCCGCCGGCACTCCACGCTGCACCTTGGCGGTATAGAGAGCCATACGGGATATGGCCTTCTGTGGAGGGTTTCTGGGATCGTCAGAATGGGCTGGATTGGGGGAGAAGGAGAGAGGGTGGGTACAGTGCGCAGTCGGCGGCCTGCTGCTTGGCCGCCGCGGCCGAGGAGGATTTGGAACATTGTTGTGGAATGAGGCTTGATATTGAGGGATTTATTGTCGTGGTTTCTGGAGAGATTCGTCGGAGCGGGGGATTGCAGTTGGCGGGCGTGAATGATATATAAAGTTTGGGTGGCAGCATGACGTGAGCATAAAGGCTGGACCGCCACGTCCTTGGTTCTTATGATTGTGAGCCAAGTTTTCCATGGATTGTATTCGGCTGGGAGCCTCGAACACTGGTAGGGCTACCGTGGAGCGTGGAGGAAGACCGTTGGGTCGGTTGATACTTACATCCTTTGGCATGTAGCGGGTGAAGATCTGGCCTGTTCACGTAGCTAACTACGAGAGTATTTCCCGGTGTATTGGCTACCAAGACAGATTCTCACTTCACCCGGTGCTAGTAAGAGGATATACACTCAACTCAACCGTCAGAACCACCATGAGCACCTTCACTAGTCTCATCGAATGACTGCAGTTCTATTTGAATCTTTCTTTCTACTTTTTTTGGAGAATTATTCTTGTAAGGTCAGTTTCTGTCCAGGCCTGCCATACCAAGAGCTGTCCCGAAAAGGCTTAGCGCGGGCTAGGATCGGAAAAGGTCGAGGCTTGGCGGAGCTGGAGTCGCCGATGGCGCGGGGTTCCAAAGGTTATCTGACCCATCACCACGAGAACCAATGTCTTTTCAACCCCGCTCGTTTGACGCTCTGCCGTTCGATGTATGGAGCTTAATCCTCTCGCATGTCCCCATTCTCGATTACCAAGCTCTCAAACTCGCTGGCAATCGCCGGCTCACCGAACTGATTCGAGATGCTCTCTCCCGCCTGTCCCGCACCCAGTACCTCGACGCGATTGCCAAGGAGGATGCGCGTCAAAATGGTCTCCCAAAGGGGTTTTGCCGGAAACCTATGGAGATTCTGATCGAGAGAGGCCGACCGGAGTTGGTCAATTACTACAAGGCGAAGTACCAGCGCGGCCGTCACGACAACAAGGAATATGACGCCTCCCGACGCATGGCAGCCGAGAAGCGCTCGTATTCATTGGCGCTGCAATGGGCGGCATTTTACGGCCAGCAATCAATCATCCAGCTACTGGTCCATCGCGTCAATCTCCGCTCCGGAAAGCTGCGGCGGACTGCTCTTCACTATGCTGCAATGGCCGACCAAGTCGGAGCCGCGGCGCTTCTCCTGCAGCACGGCGCCTATGTCAATGCCTCCGACGACGACGGAAAGACACCCTTGGAGTATGCCATCAAGCACGAGGCAACTGGGGTAGAGGGGCTTCTCAAAGCGCATGGAGGTCACACAGATTGGCCGACCATCCTGAAGACAGAAGACTGGGCCCGTTATATCCGCGACTGGAAAGATGGTGCTACTGAGCTCTTTACCTATCAATCACACGTCACGCGTACAATCATACGGCGGTGCTGGCAGTTGAAGGCTTGCATGAGGTACTACAGCCTGAGACGCACAGACGCTCCACCTCAGGACATCTCCCGCCACCAAAAACATATTCTCCGCCTGGCTATCAGACGAGATGACCCCCACATGGTTCAGTTTGTGCTGGACGAAAGCTCGGAGTTTGATGTAGCCCTCTCAACGGCATTGTGTCTTGCGGCTCAGTGGGGGCGTGTCGAAATCACTCGGTTGTTGCTCGATGGCGGAGCTGACCCGAATAAGGCAGCGGGCTATCCTGCACAAAAGCCCATGCAAACAGCGTTACTTCACGGGCAAAATGACCTTGTTGAGCTATATTGCGGCCTTGGGTTCTCCATTGATACAACAAATTACCACGGTCAAACCGCCCTTCACCTAGCTGTGGAGAAGTACTCCGGGTCGACGATCCAAAACATCATCAACCTTGGGGCCGACATGAATATGGCGGACGTCAACGGGCGTACACCTCTGCATGTTATAGCCGCAAATAAGGTTTACACCTATGCAGCTGAAATCCTCCTTGCAGAAGGCGCCGATGTCGACCCTAGAGACTCTCAGGGAAATACACCCCTGCACTACACGCTGCCTCCTCACTGCGAAACCGAGACCCTGGACATGTGCACTTGCCTCCTTGACCATTGCGCCGATCCAAACATACCAAACAGCGACGGAAATTTCCCTCTACATGTGATTCTGAACCCGAACGGCCGAATTCGATCCTCACTCGAGATACCCAACCACGATCGGCAGTACAGCTTCTTCCTAATCTTCGTACTGTTCTTTACAGACAGAGCCGATCCAAACGTGGTTGACCCGCAGGGTCGAACGCCGCTGCATCTGCTCTTAAGTGCGCCGTTGCTTAACTCAACTTACTGTCTTATGTGCGATCTACTACTTCAAAAGGGGGCTAACGTGAATGCGCGGGATCATCTCGGGCTGACACCCAAGTGGTGTCTCACCCAGTTCAGGCATGAGGATATTGAAGATAGAAAGGCCTTCAACGCTACGATGCAGTTACTTATGGATCATGGGGCAGTATTGTGATGGCTGGCTATGGTGCCTACGGACCGGTTCACTGCTACAAATTGGTGCGATTCTTGTTCTCCTCCAGTTGCCATCTGACTGTATTTATGGCCTCCTCGCGCATAATTATGTGAACCTGATCACCAATTAGCTATGGCTGACGCTTATTTTAACAGGGATATATTCCCGAGTAAGTCGACTACTGTTTGTGTGATTCTTAGTATCCGCCCTTCCCATTAACATACTAAGTGCCACAGTAACACTCCCCCAATGGCATACTGAAAGTCCCATTCCACGCTGCGTCCCTTCCTGCCTTGCGTACAGTACTTTTTTCCCCTTCGCCTTGCGGCAGGAACGTTGGTGATTGGATATTTGATCGTGGCGCATGCAGCAGGCCCGCCCTTACCTAGCCCCGGTCAGGTGACTTCCGCCTTCAACTTGCAGCTGCACGTCGGCAATCTTTTCCATCTCCCCGCGACTGGTGATAAAAATTGATCGTTCAATATCTTTCCACTTGGACCGGTTGCTATTCAGATACCGGATTTGTTCGGTGCCCGAGAATTGCTCGCTCCGTCGAAATGGACATCCGAGACCTATTGAATCCATTGGATGAACAACAGCACGAACCGAGTCCGCCGCACCCCAGCGAGCGCCAGAGTGAACCGAGCCTGCCGCACCCCCGCGAGCGTCAGGATACTCCCAATGTATTAAGTGATGAACAGGGCGAACTAAGTCTGCCGCACCCCATCGAGCGCCAGGAAACTCCCAACCTATTGAATGAAGATCAGGGCGAGCCGAGTCCACCGGAAACGCCCAACCTATTGGATAATGAACTGGGCGGACCGAGTCCGGTGCGCCCCTGCGAGCGTCAGAAAACTCCCAACCTATTGAATGAAGATCAGAGCGAACCGAGTCCGCCGCACCCCTGCAAGCGCCAGAAAACTCGCAAGGATGTCGGTAGACCCGTACTTCGGCACGAAGACTACACCATCGCCTGGATTTGTGCACCGCACATTGAACTAGCAGCAGCTTTGACCATGTTGGATGAGACCCACGCATCACTGCCCACGTCTTCCGGTGACACCAACACCTACACACTAGGAAGAATCCAGGGCAAAAACGTGGTGATTGCTTGCTCGCCCGGAACTCAAAATGGGCTAAACAATAGAGCCAGTCTCGTCACAAACCTCCGACGTACCTTCCCTTCGATTCAAGCGGGGCTAATGGTAGGTATTGGAGGCGGCGTGCCCAGTAAGGCTGACATCCGCCTGGGCGATATTGTGGTAGGAACAAGAGTTATGCAGAGTGATTTGGGGAAAGTTGTTGGGAGTGAAGAGCTTCGCCGAACCGCGATCCCCGAGATTTCCAGACCAGCGACTCGGTAAAGCCGTGTCAAGCCTCCGAGCAAAGCATGAGTTGCATCCTAGCCGCGTCTCGTCCATAATTCGCGACACGCTGGACGGCCATCCGGAGTACACTCGACCCCAAATGCCGGATCGCTTGTTCCAGGCGACATATAACCATGTCGATCCAGATAGAAGCTGTGACAATTGCGACGAAACGAAGTTAGTGCTGCGAAGTACTCGGGCATCCCATTCTACGGTCATCCACTTCGGCGGGATCGCCTCCGGAAACCAGGTTATCAAGAGTGGCGAAACCAGGGATCACCTTGCGAGGGAGCTCGATATTATATCTTTTGAGATGCAAGCTGCCGGCTTGATGGACGTACTTCCATGTCTTTCGATTCGCGGAATCTGCGACTATTCAGACTCGCACAAGAACGAAGATTGGCAAAAGTACGCCGCAGGAACGGCTGCAGCTTACGCCAGGGAGTTCCTCGCGGAGTTACATGGACCCATCGAAGACCCAAAGTTTTCCCCGGCGCCTGAGCACGGTAAGCATTCCTAGCGAGCACGACTCAAAGAGGTACTGCTGACAAATGTTATCCAGGGCAAACCGCACTGATGGACAGGCGCGAACAGTTGCTATACTCCCTGCGATTCGACAAACTCGAGTTCCGCAAGTCAACCATTAAGCCTGCGTACGGTAAAACGTGCGAATGGTTCCTCAACCACCCTGACTACCAACTGTGGCTTGGCCCCGCGGGCTTGCGAGATCATCGCGGTTTCTTGTGGGTCAGTGGAAAGCCAGGCGTCGGCAAGTCCACGATGATGAAGTTCGCCTATCTGCATTCGAAGAAAAAAGCCCGTTCCGGGAAGAACAAAACTGCGTCGTTCTTCTTCAACGCCCGAGGCGAGTCATTGGAAAAGTCCGTTTATGGAATGTACCGATCACTTGTCTTCCAGTTGCTCACAGCTTATCCTGATCTTCAAACTGTGTTGGACGATCTCGATACCGTGTTCACCCCTGACACAGAATGCCCTTCTTTGATTTTGCTCAAAGACCTTTTCAACAACGCTATTGCGGGCCTAGGCAAACGGTCCTTTACCTGCTTCATCGATGCCCTTGACGAATGTGATGAACAGCAAGTTGTGGAAATGGTCCAGTACTTTGAGGAGCTAGGGGAACAATCCGCGGCTACAGGCGTTGCGTTCCGCGCCTGCTTTTCCAGCAGGCATTATCCCTATATCAATATTGAACGGGGCATTCGACTCACGCTCGAAAGCCAGCTAGGTCATTGTGTTGACTTGGAAACATATATCAATAAACGCCTTCTAATTCAAGACCGCAACTTCCTTGAACAGCTTCGACCACAAGTACTTGAAAAGGCATCGGGAGTGTTTATGTGGGTCGTGCTTGTTGTTGATATCCTCAACAAAGAATATCGCCGTGGTGCACTGGCTCTGCGCCGCAGGCTTGCCGAGATACCAAGTAATCTCAGTGAGCTGTTCAAATACATTATCCGGCGCGACAACGCCAATATGGAAGACGTTTTGCTTTGTATCCTATGGATTCTCTACTCCAAGAGGCCTCTGAAACCGACAGAGTTCTACCATGCAATCTGGTCCGGGCTAGCGCTAAACGCCCTAGCTGATTCTAACCTACCTGACATTAGCGATGAGAATGTTGGCGAGAAAGTGGACAGGCTCAACAGGCGTGTCATTAACTGCTCGAAAGGACTTGCGGAAGTGACTGGATCTAATCAGCCAACCGTTCAATTTATCCACGAATCTGTCCGAGACTTCCTCGTCAAAGACAACGGTCTGCTGGATTTGTGGCCTAGTCTGGGGTCCAATATTGAAGCATTCAGTCACGAGAAGCTGAAACAATGTTGTGATTTCTACCTACGCAACAAGCTGATTGCTGCGATTGAGAATGATTGGGGATTGATTAACTATACGCATCCGTTCCTTCAGTACGCTACACAGCACATTTTCCATCACGCCGATGCAGTAGCCAAGTACGTCTCACAGGACCAGTTCCTGTCATCATTCCCCGTCATGAACTGGGTCAGGGCGAATAACTTGTTCGAGAAGTACAAAACTCGACGATACAGCTCCCACGCGAGCTTGTTCTACATTCTGGCAGACAAGGGCCACTCTAATCTCATTCGCACGAGGCTGTCAACTGATTCTCATGTTCATGTTCAAGGGGAAAGGGAGGATACCCATTTTTTGCCGCCCTAGCCAACGGACATAAAGACGCGGTTGCAGCGCTCCTTAACTGCCATTCAGCAATTATCAATGGTCTCGATATGACAGAAGGGTTTACTCAGCGCAGAGATCTGGTCAACTATAAAAAGCGAACACCGCTCTCCTGGGCGGCGCAGGAAGGGCACATGGAGTTGGTTAAGTCGGTCCTTGCGTCTGGGGTTGACATTGATGAGAGGGATCAGACAGGTCAGACTGCACTTGTCCGCGCTATAGAAAATGACCACGGCGATGTCGCAATGCTTCTTATCTCTGAAGGAGCTGATGTGAATGCCGCCAAGAACGGGGAAGAATCCGCCTTGGTCACTGCCGTCATCAGAGGAAATGAGCATATGGTGAATGCCCTCATAGACGCAGGTGCAGACGTAAATGCCTTCTCTGGGCCCGAGCGTACCGTTCTGCGTTGTGCCTGTGAGCGCGGATCCGAAAATATCGCCAGACTGCTCATAGAAAGGGGCGCGAGCGTCGTTGGGGAAAAAGGCTGGCAGCAACTGTTCTACGCCTCCGAGAGTGGCAATAATGCCTCCTTGGTGAAGTTGCTCATCGAGAAGTGTGGACAGGCCAAGGATCCAGAGTTCGCACGCGGCGTAATCCTGGACGCTGCATCCCACGGCCATGAAACTGTTATGAGGGTACTGCTCGACAATATCGAGGACGTCAATTTCTTACCTGGGCTCAAGGGGGAGGCGTTGCTATTAGCTTCAAAGGACGGTCATGAGACTGTCGTCCGATTACTTCTCGAGCATGGAGCAAATATCGAAGCCAGGGACGAAGATGGCCGGTCGGTACTACTGTGGGCCCTAGCTCGGGGACACAACTCAGTGGCCAACATCCTTATCGATGGCGGTGCAGACTTGGAGCAGGCTGACTGGTCCGAGTTCACGTCCCTTTCCCTGGCGGCATATTGTGGCCGTGAAGCTGTGGGTTTGGCTCTGGTCAACCGCGGTTTACGTGTCAACGCCAGAAACTATGATGGAAGCACCCCTGTGTTAAAAGCAACGCAAAATGGGAACACGGGCATTGTGCAGTTACTCATTGCGAACGGAGCCGACGTCAATGCCAGGGATATCACAGACAGAACCCCGGTCATGTGGGCTGTCTCGAAGCAACATGATGAGGTGGCGGAATTGCTGATTGAGAACGGAGCGGACCTGAATGCAAGGGATGTCAAGGGCTCAACCGCGACTATAATGGCCGCAAGCCATGGAAATACAACGATACTGCAACACCTGATCGCAAATAACGCAGATATTGACATCGCGAACGATGAGGAGATCACACCGCTCATGGTCGCTTGTCAGAAGAGGGATTTGTCTGGGCTGAAGGTCCTTCTTGAAAATGGAGCTAAAAGACCCTCCTCCTTTGGGAAGCTCTGGACATACTCATTTCATGCACAATGCGAGGAGCTAATACTTGAATACAAACAACGGAAACACTCTGACCACGAGAAAGACACGGCAGCTCATTCTTCTGCATCAGAGTAATGGCCGGGATAGACTGTTTGCGCGAGCATCCGGGTCCTCGGCAAGCTTGCTCAAGGCCCTGATGCCTGATGGTCTACACGTTATGCTATTCACGACAACCAGGCCGTACGAAATATTGCCCGTGCTATTCAACATTACGGCCCAGATTCACTATCTGATCATGACGCACTGCCTCTCACTCTCTCCGTCCTGATGTGTCTATGTATGTATTGACAATACAGGGGTTGCTTTTGGTGGTTAGTGTGTTTCTGGTCTTTCGCGCCATGGATACAGAAGGAAGCACTCTGAAAAGCTGTCCGCAGTGTCACAATTTTTAACCCGTCTGAGCTTTGGTGGGTGTTGATACTATCTAGCAATACAGTCCTGTGAACAAAAAGCAAATTTGTTAGATGCAGGGTGGCTCGAAAGCACCTCTGGGACCCATTGCCCTCTCCGAAAGTTGTTGGCTGCAGTATGGCAGTCGAGACGTCATTGTTCGCTCGGTAGGCATCAACATACACCAGCCTGACTAAGAAGGCGCTATCTAGGCAACCAGCTTGGGCTAGAAGTTGGAGCACCTCGTTATCTGCATCCAGGAAGGACGGTATGGCACCACCTCTGTATGGGTGAGGATTTAGCACTAACTCGAGGTCCTTTGATAAGACTAGGAGAGACCACAGAAATACTGGATTCCTTGACACTAGCAGGCACTAACCAAGTAAGTCAGGGTAGCATTTGCGGTGGTGAGCAGACCACGGGCTAGGCTGCGACAGACCAGGGATGCTATAAATTGTCCTCGATCCCCAACAGAAGCGTCTCCAACTCTTCTTAACCCGACAAGCAACCCAAGCTTCCCGCCAAGATACCTGGGCTGGTGCATCAAGCACCATCAAGATCATGGGCGGCACACGACCCCGAATTCGCGATCTCGGATACAGTCCAGGCCGCTTCAAGCCCGGTCCAAAGAACTCCCTCCTCGATGTCAAGGGTACGGCTGCCCACCTTATTAATCCGGCAAGGCGTCTTGAAGCTAATTCTCCAGGCGTCACGGTCGGCCAAGTAACAATCCACGAAGAGCCGGACGTCCACACCGGCGTCACGCTGATCTTCCCGCGCGGCGTCGACGGAACCCGCCAGACACCCTGCTACGCGGCCTCGCACGACCTAAACGGCATGGGCGAGTTTACGGGGACGCATGGGATTGCGGAGTGGGGGTTTACCAATAGCGTACGTCCTACCCATCCACGGGGTATAGCTTTTCCCCCCAATGGGTCGCGAGTTAATGGCGGTGTATAGCCAATCGCGTTCACAAACACAGTGAGCATCGGCAAAGTCTACGACGCGCTCTTTGCCTTCCAGTTCAGCCAGGCTGATTCTCTCGGCGAAAATGACGTCGAGGCCGGGCGGCGCATGACGATCCCCGTCGTCGGCGAGACATTCGATGGACTCCTTAACGATATCCGCCGCTCGGTGATTGATAAAGAGGTTGTTTACCAAGCCATTCAGGCTGCGAAGTCCCAAAGCGAGATTTTAGAGGGGAATTGTGGTGGGGGCACGGCGATGCGGTGTCATGGGTGGAAGGGGGGGACGGGGACGGCTTCGAGGGTAATTCCGGGTATAGACGGGAAGGAGTATATGCTTGGGGTTATTGTGCAGGCGAATCATGGCGCGAAGCTGGATTTGAGGATTGGGAATGTTCCTGTCGGTGAGCTTTTGGAGAGGGAGAGGAGAGAGAAGGGGGTGAAGGAGGTGCGCTTGCCTGCTGCGGGGAGGGCGGCGGAGGGGAGTAAGAGTCCATCTTTCTCTCCATTGTGGCGTCGATGTGCTGATAAATATGGCTCTAGGTATTCTCGTCGTCATCATGTGAGTTCAAGTCCCGTCCTTGCTGCAGCGGAAGAACTCCGTAGTAACCCACACAGTACCGACGCCCCTCTCCTCCCACACCAACTCCGCCGCATCGCTCAACACGCCGGCATGGGAATCACCCAGGTAAGCCCAACCCACCTGTCATTATCCTCGACTAACCCTGCGCTTCCAGGTTGGCGGCCACTCCGCCGGCCGCAACGCCTCAGGCGAGATCTTCCTCGCGCTCTCGACCGGCAGTGTGCCCAACGAACTAGCAACGGGCTCCAGCGGCTTCGAGTACCTGCCGCCTCTTGAAACGCATAGAGTCGAGACATTGAAGAACGAAGTCATCGACTCGCTGTTCTACGCGACGTCGGAGGCGGTCGAGGAGGCGATTCTGAATTGTTTGTGCAAGGCCGAGAGCCTGAGGGGGTTTAAGGGACGATATACGGAGGCGTTGCCGGTTGAACGGGTGCGGGAGTTGTTGGGGAGGTACATGGTTAGGCCCGAGGTGGAGTAGGGCTTGTTCTACGCGCATGCAGGTGCCCGGGATGGTTTATGGTGGGATAAAGAGGCTTCGTTTGTTTTACGCACACATGCAGCTGCCCAGTAAGCTGTTTGGTAGAATGAAGATACTCTGTTTGTTCTACGCACGCATGCAGATCCCTACCTAGGTAGTATGCTTTGAGTTATAACCCAGATGCCCTGTTAAGAATACATGCCTACCAGACGCATGCTACTCCCAGTGCTTATTATTATTAGCATCAGGCAGCCCAGGTTGTCTGTTATAAAATGGGCTTGAGATTAGGTGGCATGACAGCATGAAGATGTTTCGCGGTGTCCTGCGTAAATCCAACCAGGAAGGCAAAGGGTATACGGTATAGGGTCTTGATCTTAACGCAGGCTGTGAGTGCGTGCAGGACATTAGGCGTAAGCCTTTCCCTTGGGTGTAAAACTCCATGTTGTAGATTATAAACAAGATTCTGTTACTTTACCATAACAAACAGAGCACTATAGAATGCCTGCTTTGCATGTGTGGTATGGCAACTGTGAGAAATATATAATGGTAGAGTACGTACCTGCCCACCCACCTCCCACCTGCAAAGTTTAGCCGGAGGTATGGCACGGCACGGCATGGCATGGTCATCCGCAGAGCGCCAGCCCCAGCGCCAGCCCATCCCAGTCCGAGATAAGTTGAAATACGGTATGGGAGCACCAAAGCATACCAGGACACAAGACACCCCAACCGTCCAAGCTAGGCTCTCCCAATACCCACCCTCTCATAATGATATGCATTGGATGCCACAGCACCAAAGGGAAACCCGCGTTCCAAGCCCAGCCCAGTGCCGCGGGCAAAACAGGGCAAAGACCCGCAGCGCCCTGCCGTATCGGTCAAGCGCACCCACGGAAAGCGGCCCGGGGGCCGGGGGCGGTGCCCAGCCTCACCGGCAGATGTGTACCGTAGTCGCTCTCGCTTGAAGGAGGAGGGTTGGCTGGTAAGGTTGTCTTGAGCCCCCGGGCATAGGCCCGATCGGACGGTCTGACAACGACAGCCATGTAGGTGGGAATTGGTGCAAGGCGTACGCGGGTAAGCAGGGGTCCGGGCGTGCCCAGGTGAGTTCTTCAGGTGCCGTGGAACGGCATGGAACGGCACGTCTCGGTTTACCTACCGTACCTACCGTCAGCGGCAGGGCTATACCTAGGCTGCCTAGGCTGCCAGGTAGTCCGTATCCGCACTCTACCTTGGCACATTGGGTACCGTAGTCTATGTACTTCCGATCTAGCCAGGCTTGATTTGATGCATAACGGCCGCGAAATGCGCCGGCATCTCATTGAGTGTTACCACGCCTAAGCTTATCTGCCTGACTAAATCCATCCCACGAACGATCCACGGATGAACCCATCAGATGCGGGAGGAAACTACTCAGGAAGCTCAAATCGCCCAGCCATGTTTTCCATATCCATTCCGCATATGAGCGTGCGTCCACGGAGTTCCGAGCTATCCATGGTAGGCACCCCGTATGTACGGAGTAACCATGTCTGAAAGGTTCAGCACGACCTCAATCCGGCACGACCACCACCACCACCACCACCACGAGCTCAACGGGTAACAGGCCTCATCCAGGCCTTAAGATGCGGACCAAGATAACTCGCCAGAAAGGTATCCTTCCACTTCAGTTCCTTGGGACTATGTACGCGAAACGCAATTAGCATCGCATCGCATCGCATCGCATCGCATCGCCTCGTCGAACCAATCCCACCATCGACCCCCGCAACGCAAAAGAAAGGAAGGAAAAGAAAAGAGAAGGAAAAAGTGGCCATACCTCGACTCATCGATCTCAACATCGAACTTGCGGAAGATATGCGCGTACGTGAGGTACAGCTCTGCCCAGGCCAACCTACACACACTGTCAGCACTCAAGATCAGGGTGAGGGTATGGAGGACGGCGGGAAGTACTCACTGCAGCCCCAAACAACTCCTCGGCCCGCGCGAGAACGCCAGGAGGTATCTATCGAGCGCTTTGGCATTCTCGCCGATCCAGCGCTCGGGTCTGAAGGCGTGCGGAGCCTCGAAGATGGCGGGGTCCATGTGGATGAAGTGGCTGGAGTGGGCGACGATCGTCTACAATCAATCCCATCGTCAGTTCAGGCACGCAGGAACTTCTACGAAGGAGAGGGAGGAGGAGAGAGAGAGAGAGACGGGACATACACCACCAGGAACACGCACGCCCCCCACAACCGCCCCCGAGCTCGGCACAACACGCGGCAACGGACTCGCGACGCCAGGCGCCATGCGCAAACTCTCCTTAACCACACCCGTCAGGTACGGCAAGCGCTCCAGATCCTCCCACTTCGGCGCCGCGGCGTCCAGATCCGGCCAGGCGTTTCGCAATTCCGCCTTCAGCTTGCCGTAGATGTCCTTGGACGTTTCCTGCAGGATGTAGAAGCACCCGTGCATGAGCGTCATGCCTGTTGTATCGGCGCCGCCGAACATAAGGGCCTGGGCTTCTTCGTAGAGACTTCCTGGGCATGGCTGGGTGTTCGTGCGATATGCTTCGGGGCGGAGGAGCTCGTGGTAGATTGTGGTGCTGTGGGGGAGTTTTTCGAGTTGGCTGGGGTCGGATGTGAGGGATGCGATCTGGGCTTTTAGGAGCTGAACGTGGAATCTATTAGCTTATCTCGTTCGCCGAGCTTAGGGTGTGAGGCCTATTTGAATAGAGTGTTGCGGACGTACCGTTTGCAGGTCTACCAGACCCGCCGTCGCGGGAGAAAGCATCTTCGATAGGCGTGGCGGACAGTTCATGATCATCTCCTTGATGAAGTGGAAGTGCTTGAAGACCGGGAAGACGGTCATGGAGGCGTCCATTGCGACGAGGAGCGGGGATTCATAGTTCGGCGCGTGCACGGCGTCGACGGATTTCGCGAAGCAGAGGTCTACCATGCGCATCAGTCACCATCAGATCAAGAACACGGCTTAGCTGGTACGGCCAAAGCAGACGGGGCACACGCACACGTAATGACATCGACGGACATGCACCGAAACGCATAATACAGATCAACGGGAGCGGCGGCATTGTCGGCAAGCGTCCTGCAAAGCTCGATGACCTGTCCATGTCGAACGGTACATCGTCAGCACCGTCCAGTCAATAATATAGTAGCGGCTTACAATCCCCTGCACAACCCCCTGCGCCTCCTGCACAGCCTTGCGCGAGAACCGGCGGGACAGGATATCCTTGCGCTCTTTGGCCTCGGCGTAGGTCAGGTATCCGAACGACGAGCGGTCCTCGCCGAAGCTGTGGTACAGCCGCGCCTCCTTGTCCCAGCGGTTGGCCGGGCTGAAGATCTCGAGGTAGGCGGCTGGGGTGCGGAAGTGGAGCTGGCAGGAGTATCAGTACAACGGGTATGGAGGTAGATGTCTTAGAGGGATGTCGGACCTCGTTTGGGCCGATGCGGACGACGTCTCCTGCGTGTTATGCTTAGCGCGCCTGCGTCAAGCCACATGCAATGCAGCAGGGGCGTTGTAAACAGGATCCTGCAGTGGAAGTGGGCATACCGTATTTGTTATGAAGTTCGATCAGATGATGGGCGAAGGAGTGCTTCCACGAGATGTCAAAGTACGCTCTGTAGAAGCGAGTGAGGGCGGCAAGACGGGGACCGGGGAAGGGGGCGAGCGGGTGCCAATGGAAGGTGTGGACGAGGTGGTACAGGGCGTAGGAGAGCAGGGCCACGGCCAGGGCCTGGACTGAGGCGGACGCATCCATTCCGACGGATTTTCTGTGGTCTTGTGTGATGGTGTTGCAGTGGAAGTGGAAGTGGAAGTGGAAGTGGTGTGTCACTGCCCTGAGACAGGCATGGCCGCTTTAAGACCAACACCTGCACTCCTGGTCAAGGAGGGACAACAGCAGTGAGTAATGCATCCATGGATTCTCCTGCCTATACTGCACCTGTTATGAACTTGTGCATCTGCAAGCCATGATGGATGCCATGAGGGCTGTTCCCCGATGCAGCAACAGCTACAGAATAATTCCACGGATGTCCGCCCATTGGGCCTGGTCTCGAGCCGAGAAGCACCAGGATCATGCACCAATAGGTTGAGACTGCCAGCTCACTTTGTTTTTCTTCCGACCCCGCTGCTGCAAAGTTCATCGTTGACGTTCTCCTCTCGGTCCTTTTTGCCGTTCATCATCCTGCCTACCCTCCCACTTCGATTCGTCGCTCCGCGACTCCGATAAAGCTCCATATCTCTCCAAGCTCCATCCTAGCCACGCGCTTCTCGATCTCTGCCTCTTACTGCGCTCACAGTATGGCGGATGAGTTCCCGCTGGAGGTGGATGCCAATGTGCGTTACGCGAGTCCTAGGGGCGATCTCCCCGTTCGCTGGATTTCTCCCACCACAACCTTTAGTCCGGTGGAGCTGACTAGATTCACCGTTGGGCCATAGCATCCCGAAGACACCGATTCCGTGTTCAGCGATGATTACAATTCGTCCGTCGCGCCCTCGTTGCTTTTGCCGTTGCCCGGTCGCTGATGTTTGTTTGGTTACGCAGGGAATTGACCTCGCTACGCAGCAGCATTGTGGATTATCGCTACGAGAACGGGCGACGGTATCATGCCTACCGCGCTGGATCATATTGGTGCGCATGCGCAGAGTCGCGACGGCTTGAACGCAGCTGACGAGAATAGGGGGCCGAACGATGAGAAGGCCCAGGATCATCTGGATTTCGGGTTAGTATGGGCCTACCGCCGGTCGCAGCGGCTGATGGGCGAAGACACCATGTTTACAACCTCGTGCTGGGCGGCCATCTTTATCTAGCGCCTATTCCAACCGACGTGCAGGTGAGCGCCCTCGATATCGCGTGGCGCGGCCGACTTGTTGACACGGCATAGAAAGTCCTTGATGTCGGGACCGGGACGGGGATTTGGGCGATGTCTGCCTTGGACCACTTTTGAGATCAACTTCCCACTGACAATCGCAGGGAATTCGCGGACCTCCATCCATCCTCCACCGTCGTCGGAACCGACCTCTCCCCAATCCAACCTACCTGGGTTCCGCCAAATGTGCAATTCGAAGTCGACGACTGCACCGACGAGTGGTTGTACGGGGATGACGCATTCGACTTTGTCCATGTGCGTGGGCTGTACGGCTGCGTGTCGAATTGGGACGTCTTCTATAAACAGGCACTACGGTGGGTCGGGCAGTCATTCCAGCATGGAAAGCGCTGACCTGGTCAAAGGTCATTGAAACCGGGCGGGTGGATAGAGCAAGTCGAGCAGTCGGTCGTACCGAAGTCGGACGACGGGACGACGGCCGGAACGGTCTTCGAGGAATGGGGCAAGGTTTCGCTGGAGGCGGGCGATGCGTTTGGGAAGTCGCTGCGAATCGTGGATGAGTCGAAGGACAGGATGACCAAGGCCGGCTTTGTCGATGTCGTCGAGCGGCGGTTCAAACTCCCCATTGGCGGTTGGGCCAGCGATCCTCGCATGAAGCAACTCGGCCTCTACAACCGGCTCCTGTGGGAAGAAGGAATCGAAGGCTGGTGCATGTACTTGTTAACGGCAATTCTCAAGGTAATTTTTCCTCCGCAAATGGAGTGCTGCGCTAAAGGCATCCAGTGGTCGCGCGAGGAAGTCGAAGTATATCTCTCGCGAATGCGAAAAGGACTTCGGAGTCCGAGAATCCACCCGTATCATGAATGGTCTGTTCAGCGTTGTCCATTTGCCGGCTGGTGCTAACCTCCATAGTACCGTCGTCTACGGAAGAAAAGCACCGAAGGAAACGCACACAAATCAGTGAGGCGAAAGTCAAGGTTGTGGCGAGATTGTTGGAAGCATCGCAGAGAGATTGTCATGAGAGCGACGGTGCTTTTCGAGTTCTCGAGTTGGGACTGGGCGATCGGCTTCTTATGAATGACACGAACTGGTGCTTGGCTGCCTGCGCCACGTCCAATGTACCCCTAGTCTTAATGAATGTTACTATAGGCCATGTGGCTGTGCCCGGTCGATCACATGGGAAAGCAAGGCTGAGCATTGATTCATTGGCTCGCGAAGCGTAGGCACGATTGGGACTTTCGAGAACGTTGCAGCCTTGTGAGAACCATGGACGTGCGATACACCATCTTGTTGTTTGATATTGAACACCTACTCTGCTAACCGCCACGGCTGAGCAAGGCGTACTGCCGTAACTGATGACTGTCTAGTGTGACTCTGGCCGAGGAATCGAGTCTCGCCTTCAGCGGAAGCTTCATGGCCGTGGGCTGTTGTTGCACTTAAGCTGAACCATGAGGGTCATATTCTTGGGCGCAACTCCTCGACTCCGCATAATGCTGACTGTGAAGAATATAAGTTGACTCAGCTTACCATGATACTGAATCCCATGACCATGGCGCGGAAGGAAATGCTGATTCCGTGGATTACGGTAGCTGGGAAAGTCCACGCGAGCCGCTGTGCCGGTCATCCCGGCGTAGTTGGGCCATACGCGGCAGCTGTGCAGTCCTAGGCAGCCGTCTGGCGCAGGAGGTGATTGATAGGTGGTTCAGTTTGTCGTTATGGCGCTGCCAACCATGAGAAGTCTAGAGGCGCAGCTGTACCGAAGGAGCTCACAGTAAGTGCCACATATCGTGAGTCAAAGTTAAGAAGACCAGGGTTACCACAGGGTGACCCAAGGGCTTTCATGGGATATCTGCCCCAGGGAACTCTGTAACGCAAACCGGTTGGTTCAAAGATACGAGGCACCATAGGTATGCTATTCAGGGTAGTGAGGGAAAGACATTGTGAAGGCTGCCTGGAAAACGCGGCCGCTACCCGCGTTGGTTGCCCTTTCGACCGATGGGGTGCCCAGCCAGGTAATCCCATGCAGATATGCCCGAGTGTTATGGGGTAACACCGCGGAGGCTCAGACTGTGCCGCCCGCCGGACGTGTAGCTTGCGGCGTGAACAACCTGGGTGAAGAGACTCGTACAGGAGGCATCATGAGAGCAGTGCATATCACGAAAGCCCTAGGGCGGTGCGAGGCTTTCCTTTAGGTTCGAAATCAAGGATGAGACAAAGAAGATCAGTAAGCCCGTGTTATAGTCCATGGAATCCTGCCCCGCCATGGCTCGGCCTAGGTTAGTGATTTGCTTCGTGGTCGTCTGAATCGGGATACTGGTTGGCTGAGGCTCCTCCATCACCGGGGTATTAACGGAGTGGCTGGACATGACAAGGCCTGATAGAGAGGGGAATCGTCAGTGAACAAGGAGCAGCATGGTTGTTGGTTCGTTGATGGCCCCTGCTAGATGCAGGCCAGTTCTCATATCTGTGCAAACTTGGACGTCATCTTGGTGGACTCCCATCACGAGTCGTGGGGTAGGACCTGTCAGGTAGGGCTTCACGAGCAGGTATCGCGCGTGCAAGGCACGTGGATCCAGTCGGGGACGTAGAAGAGGGCATGGTGATGCCTCAGGACAGTCTTTCCAGCCTTGTTGCGCAATATTAGGGCAACGAAGGGGATCAAGAACCAATGGGAAACAATCGTCGGCGAGGCTGAGCGAGCGGTTCCTTCCCAGTGGAGGGCTGGGCTTCACCCGGGTTTTGCCCTCGAGCTAGCAACAGCGTCCTGCCAAAAATAGCCCCATTATCCACTGGTTTGCATAGCATAGTCGGAGAGACTGTCGCGATGGAGCATTCATTGATCGAATGGGAGAGAATGAGAAGGATTAGGTGAAAGCGTAGAGAAGGAAGCGGCGCGGGAAGACAGAAGCAAGAAAACCGCAGGTTGAACCAGAGAGGAGGGTTAAAGAGACCGAATACGAGGGTGGGATGACGTTCTGCGGCCATCCCAGTTGTCTTGGGGATTCTCATCCTTCTGCGCAGCGCTCAGGGCTGTTGGTCCAGCCGCTGACTACGGTGGGTAGAGAACGACAGGGCCACAGCGCTATGTTGAGCCTCCTGGACAGTGCCCGGGCGGACGTGCAACAACCTATTCGAGGCTCAACTTTGGGAGATGATCAGCTAGAGTTTGAAGGGAGGATATAAGACTCACGGTGGCCTCGTCTCCAAATCGCCTTATCCATCCAGACTCCATACGATCTGTCCTCCGGATGTCCATTCCCTTACACACCCCATCAGTCTCTGCTTTCTACATACGTCTCTCACCACGATGCCTGGCAAATACGTTGACCATCATGAAGAACAGCCATCCCTTATCTTCAATCCCGGCCCAATCCACAGCCCTTTTACGCCGCTCTTCAACAACAACTTTACACCACGATACCTCTACCGTCTCGTTGCGCCCCAGTCCGCAGGAACAACCACCTCCTCGACCGTCGTCCCACCCATAATCGAAGGAAACGCAAAAGATATTTTCGACCTGCCAGCTCCCAAAGCAGCAACCCTCCTCCTAAACCATCTGCTCTGGCAGCGAGGCCACGAAAATGGGTGTAACCTAATGAGCTGGACAAGCTCGCTCCTCTTCGCCCTCCAATACGCTTTATACCGGCACCGCAAAGACGGCGATGACTTGCAAGATATCCAGCTCATAATTCTCGATACGACCCTCTTCCCAGCCGGAACCTTCATCCAAGACATGGAGATCATGCGCGCCTTCGCAGGAGCAGACCGCCGCCTGCAGAAATTCGTCGAGTTCCGCGAGAGCGAGTACTACTTCGGCGAGTACCTAACGCAAGGCAGACTAGCCATCCAGAACCGCTGCGTCTGTACATCCGTCCAGAGAATGATCGAGCTGGGTTTGTTCGACCTCCAGCCCGCCCTCGGCGACGAAACGCAGTGGCAATGGTGGCCGAAACGAGTCCTTGTTTTCCGAGAGCAGTTTGAGCAAAATGTCCGTCTTCCTACTACGGACGCAGATGTCCAGGTCGCGGTGGATATTGCGAGGCAGTGCTTCGGCGGGCAATGGGTGGTGCCTGGTGCGATCATGCTACTTGCCCTGCAGCCACGTCAGAGGGATGACGCGGTCATTCTCCACGGCCTGAAGGACCGTTTTTCTGGTATGCCCCTTGTCCTTGCATTTATTCCTAACACTAAAGAGTACAGCGGATGAAGTTAGGCGCGCGGGCCTGCATCGGGTCAACATCGATGCCAGACGGCTACCCGAGGTCGGACAGTTCAAGGAGCTGGTCCAGTCTGTCCAGCGCAGCTACGCCTTAAACGAGTACGATGACCTGGTCGGTTCCGTCCTGGGGCTGAGTGTTTGAGTGGCAAATGGGGATGGCTTGGGGAGCCTCCATCTCCTGGAAACATGATACATGATTTGACGAATCTGCTTGGTTTGGCTTTGTATCTTGTGCTTATTCCTTGCATTATTGCATCTTCACTCCTTCGCAAATTGTGAGCTTTCTTATTTCTCTATGCTGATCTGAATATGCTGTGAGGATGCTTGAGGATGCGGACTAGCTGCAGGTGAGCACTGTGATGGCGATGGGGCCGGGGTTCAGGGAAGAAATATACGTTCGGAATTATGGTACCAGAATGTCATCCTAATCATATCCATCATTCCATGAGTCCCATACGACCATCTTCTTCCAACCTCCCTTCCAATCGCGCCTTTCTCGTCGTGCCCATAGCCCCAGGTATTACTTCAACCTGCCTCATGTAGTTCGCTGGACCTGGTCTTGCCTACCATAGCTATACGGGAAGCCGCCACGTTCCAGCCGAGCAGGGATCACCCCGGTCCCCTTGGTCATGAACCTCCAATCATATCCTGGAAACCGCCGATCAATCTGCCCTTCTGCGACGCGGCGGCTCCCTATACAAAGGTGCCAAGCGATGAGGCGACCATCGCCTCACTGTACGCCGGGCTTGCTTGCCACCCACATCCAGCTCAGCTGAGCCTCGATATGACTAACATGCAATCAGCATTGAACCTCCAGAACTGGTGGCCATGGCTATGCTGGTAATGAGGCATTCCTGTGATCGGCGAAACCCGGCAGGGCATGTCTGGAGGAGAGTGCCGTGCCTGGAACCAATCGGTTGGGGACTCGCGCGAAGTCGAGGTCGAGAAGAACGCCTAGCTCTGGGATCAGGTGCGCAGCATTGAAACGCCGTGCCTTTTGCGAAATGGAAGGTAGGTGGTTTCCTCGCTCTTCCCCGCCTATTAAGAGAAATCCCTTGACTGGCCTTGGAAGATTGTGACTACCATGGTCGATATGGTCCGATCTCGAATCGGGTGATCTACGGCATTTAACAAGACTGGTACCTAGGGCATCGGAGTATTTGTACCGATTCGACGACTGTAACGCAAGTATGATGATACCATAAGCCATTTTGGTAAGGAAGAGACAATTGGAAGTAGGCAGATATATCCGAACGTGTGAGGGAACCATCTCTCTCCCCTGACAGGAATTCATTGTCCGCATGTATTTGGTGGCCTGCGGGCAAGGCTTGAGAGCTCTTGAGAGTGACGTTATCAGCTATCCATGGATTTTGCTGTTCTGCATCGGCGTCTGTTCCATCTTGGACCCCTTAACCTCGAGTAGGGTTACAAAAGAGTCTTCCATGCATCCCGTTTCAACGCCTCCTAGTCCCAATCCGACCAACAAGCGAAGCACAGGAGCTTAGGTGGCTTAGCTCCGGCGCCCCTCACAGATGTCGTTCATTCTAATCCGATCCAGAAGGCTCACCGATGGTGCAGGTGGGCATTGCCCAAAACTCCAGCTACCATGACCTAAACCCGAGCAGAATGACCTATCTCCGAAATACCAACGAGTGATGTGCTAACTCCGGGATTGGAAGGGGTTTACGAAGATGCTGTATGGTCGGATGTTTTTTTGGGAGTGGGGATGGGGACTATGAGGGGAGACGGGGTCTTGATAATCGGGTCTTGGGGCTGCCGGTTGAGGATTTGGATGAGGCGACGAGGGAGGGGATTCGCATGGGGATGGCGGGGGAGGTGCCGTTCTCGCATTGAGGGACTGTCCACTATACTTGGCTGCTTGAATCATACGCACTCAGGAAATGCTTCATACACTTAAGTATAAGAATAGTCCTGTTGACGCGCTCCGTAAACCCGCAGATATCAATGCCATGAGGACATCCACTGCACTGTAAGCATCTGCGCTCCCCCTTCTGCCAGACACACTTGGAATCTCGTACCTGATGTGATAGGCAGTGGGTTCCCTATCCACTTTGAGCATGCTTAAGGCACTGGCGGTGAAGTGTAGACTACACAAGGGAACTAGATAGTGTCATTTTGGACTGGTGGATGTATCTCAATGTAACAGTGAAAATCTCCATATGTACCTCTAACCTGTCTTTTTCCAAGGTTCGACCGAAGGTTCTAGGACTGCAATGTAGTACCATATAGCCTAGACGTCATCAAGGTTGTTCGCTTGGTAGCCCTGGCATCAAAACACATGGACAGCATGCGTCGGAAGGTGCTTCCTAGACCCGCCTGGGCGACTAGCTGACGCTGACAATCGGAGTACTCGTCACTGCTGAGCTGTTCAACAGGCAGAGACAAGCGTCGCCCTGCTAAGCTCCACATCCGCAGCAGGCGTAGCCACTCCGCGTACCAACTCGATATTACTGACATCTTCCAAGCTCGCCGGCTTCCTGGAGTACCGATACGGCGTGAGGCCGCCTATCACGAAGAGCCTTGGACCCAGCCACGACGGCCTCAACGGCCGCCACACAGAACGGACCCTTGTCGGAGGGGGACGGCTCGCTTGCGGATCTCGAAAAAGGGCGGGCATCACGGGGAGACAGCTGCAGGTAATCCCAATGTCTAACTCCACGGTGCTGTCAGGGCCGTTAGTAGGAATAGTGGCCATGGAATGGGTGGTGATAGGAGTAGAGTTGTAGAAAGCAAACACCCACCCGACAATGTAGATGGGCAGACTGATTTGCGTCGCGCCACCCGCCGGATTCCCCTGGAAGTTGTACGTGCAGGCCAAGATACTCATGGCGACGGCTCTAAGCATTCCCGCGCTGTCGGTAAGCCCCAGCCCCGCTCTAGGAACGTGGTTTACTTACAAGAGACCCGTCAAGAACACGGCAGCGACGCGCCATTTCTTTGCGCGGCCCAGGTGCAGTCTGGCAACGGCGAAGAGTGGCAGATTCAGAAGATAGACGTCCGTGACGGCGCCCACCACGACCCCGAAACGAACGAGGAAGGCGTACGCGGCTGGGTTAATGAATGCCCAGAGAAAAAGGGTCAATGGATAATAGAGTGCGCAGAACAGGATCCCTATATGTATTCCCCAGTTGACGGCGGTGTTCTGTGAAAATAGTCGCAGATAAAGGAGGAGGAGCGTCAGTTTGGTGAAGCAGATGGTTGCTGCTCCGACCATTGCGCCGATATGCCCAAGCTAAGTATCTGTTGTTAGCTCAATGCATGAACCGCCCACGTCAAAGAAGGCAGGAAATATCTACTCTGTTAAACTCGTATAGATCGTCACGACTAACGTCTGCCACGTGTCTTCCCAGGGCGAGGGTTCCCACTGCAAAGAACGCCCGCTCCGTCAGTCACTAGACAGCACAATACGTCCACTGGGTTGGGAAACAACTTCGAAACGTGAGACCCTTATAGGCAGCCTGTAGAAGCTGTATATGTATAACGGTAGCTGATGAGCAAGTGGTCCGTCCACTGGACGAATCGACTAACCAAAGCAATCACCACGGTAGCTAGGTTTGGAAACGTCAGTCCTGGGTCAGCTGGGCTGGTAGAAGCAACCCGTGCGTGAAAGCCCTGGAGACTCGTACCATCATCCCACCAAGGATTCCGAGTGACTTTCAGCCGAGCATACAATCGGAGCACAACCCCGCTTGTTGCCAGTGCGAGACCGGCGCTCGAAACAACGTAGTACAATAATGCTGGGTTGGCATCGTCACCACCGATAATAGACTGTCTGGCCGAGTGGGCGTGTAAGGCTCGGGATATGCCCATGTTTCGCTCAACGGGAGAGATGCGAGGATGACCAAAGTGCTCTCGAAGCTTTTGCCAGATTCCTTGGGTTGCAGGTGCTACGTAGGTATATGATGGATGGGGTGCTGACATTCAGCCCCAGCCTACGGTAGTCTCATCGTGAGACAGCATGGAGTATCTTGGGCCCCGGAATAATCGTTGCACAGGGACTCTTGGGTGCAGAGTATACACATTGTGTATTAAGGTGTCCTGCAGCCTTACTGGTTGGCGTTGGTAGGGTCTTTCTGGTGGTCATTGGCTGCTGTTGCCCTGCCACGTCATTGTCATACCAGCTGCCATCGCCGGGGGCATACGGAGTAATGCCCATCCCTTTAACAGCCGCGTAGGTCCTGTCGAGCTTAACTTGGGTCATGAAGCCACAAGTTCACTATCAATAAACTGATTGCTAGTCCGCAGTCCTACAAAGAATGAATTCGTCAGGGAACGCCGCCACAAAGAAAGAAGACACACATAGCTTGATGGCTTAGCAAACGGGGCAAGGAACAGGGCCATCTGGTCATGGTAAACACTGTTTGATGACCTCTTGTCTCATGATATCACACCTCTCTCTTTCAGCACAGCCATGTTCTTCATGAACATGCCAAAGCCCGTTCTGTGAAGACAAAGAGAACTTGGTGGTATGCATGCGTTTGGTTAAAATAACAGGTTACTTCATAATTAATAATATAACGCGATTGTCCGCAAGCAAACGCATTTTTATGGATTTACTTTCATCGTGTCTCTTTCTTAATGGAGCTATGCGTTCATTTGGTTTGAACAACAGGCTTTTTAATAATTAATGATGAACGGCGATTGCCGTCAAGCAAACACATTCTAAGCATGGGTTTACTTTCATTTTCTAAATGCAGCTATACGTGCATTTGGTTTAAACGACTGGTCTTTTGATAATGAATGATAAACAGCGATTGCTGTGAAGCAAACGGATTCTTTCTATGGTTCTATTCTCATTGGGTCTCTTTTTAAATGCAGCTATGCGTGCGTTCGGCMAAACAGCAGGTTGATTGGTAATTGACGATAAAAAACGATTGCCCTCAAGCAAACGGTTTACTTTGATGTCTCCAGCTTCATTTCACCATGGCTCTTTCTACCCAATTGCAGCTATGGATACTAAGTGGCGAACCAACCTTTCCCCCAAACGGTCCAAGTGCCAAGTTCAGTCCTAATCCAACACTAGAGAGGAAAATACAGACGCCAGAGATACATCCGATCAGAAGATCCTACATGTGAGGAGAAAACGCAAAGGACCAAAAGAAGAGCTATCGAGATCCCGGCCAACCAACCCAGACCTTTAAGCCAACCCTAAGGTTCTAAACAGCAATCAGCCGGCCACCACCAAAGCGAAAGCCAACGATGAAACGAAGGATCCGGTTCGCAAGGAAAACCATCGCCAAGCCAAGCACAAGAGCCGAAACCATAGCAAACGCGAGGCACTCGATCGGGTTGTATCCCGCACCTCCAGCATACGAAAAGCCATACGACAACCCGACGTACAGGCCAAAGAGAAAGGCAAGGATCATGAAGCAGGGCGTGGTCCAACCCGTTTCGAGCATGCGGGCTTCGTGATGGTGGATGGAGGGCGCTTCCTCGTGCTCGCCCGCGTTCTCGTTCTCGTTCGTATGCTCTGTTCCAGCCTCGGTGTCAGCAGATGCAGTGGTAGCAGACACAGCCGCAATCCTCCCCTCCTGATCGGCCGTCTTCACGCCCAGCAAACACTGAAGGATCAACGCATTTGCAAGCGTGATCCCGAACGTGCGTTTCAGGTGGTCCCACCACATCGGCTTGATGATGTCCTTCGCCTCGCGCAGCTTGATGTAGCAGTCGAATGCGTCGTCGATGTCGAGGGGCTCGCCGGGGATCAGAGATGGACAGTGCACCCAGCCGTGTGTGCAGTCGGTGTACATGACCCGGAAAATTAGGGCGGGCTTGCCGTTGAGTTCGGGGAGGTTGTGGGCGCCGGCGAAGGAGGTGAAGGTCATTATGTTGGAGAGGAGGGTGGTGTCGAGGATTTTTTTCTAGATGGGGCTTGTTAGTTGATTCTATGGCTGATGGGAGATGGGGAGCTGTGGGGATGGGGATGGACGTACAGGATTCTCATCTGGAATCTGCTTGAGCACGGACGCGTAGACGGAGAATGCACTGGGCTTTCGAGGTTGAGGGCGAGGGCGCTTTGGTTCAGCTTTAGCTTTAGCATCCGCTTCACCCTCGTACTCCACGCGGGGAGAGAAGGAGACGTTTTTCGGCATGGCTCCGTGTTTGGCCGCTTCTTTCTTCAGGACTTTACGGCGGAGATCAATGCTCTTTCTCTTGAATCTCATAGATTCGACAGGGTTCGTGATGATGGTGGTTGTTTTGTTGATGAGCGCGTTAGTTTGGTTTTGGGGTAATCTTGTGACGGAGAAGAATAAGTTTAACTCAGGGCTTGTCGTCTGGCGTGCGAGAGGGTTGCAATGGGATTATGAAGGTTCCTGAAGAGTTTGCAGGATGAGATGGTTGGAGAAAAGAAGGGGGATGTAGAACAGAAGATGAAGATGGGTCGAAGTTGAATAGGATGATGTTATATAGTTGGATCCGAGGAGTCCAGGAGTATCAGAAGATGAAGCTATTCACTGCTGCGGGGCTTCAGATCTCATTCACTTTCCAGAGCCCTACTTTGCCACCGGCCTGTGACAGACCCCTTCGCCGCGTCATGGCAGGGATACGCGAGCAATTCTTGCCGTCCGTTCAGGAGGTTTCGCTCGTGAACGATCATCAGGCAGAAACTGCCTTCTTTAATAGGTTCCTTGCGGAAGTGACCTGAAGCCAAAGATACAGAATCCGGGTGACTGACTACAGCGCGGGCCTTGGGACGGTGGGCTCATGATGGAGGACCTCCAGGGCTAGGTCAAGGTGAGAGCGGCCCCTACTCTGGCATCAAAAAATATGCATTTACAACGCCGCCGGGACAACAGCATCTTCATATGCGTAGTCAGAATGGCAAGCTACTATGGTATCCCATCACTCTCGACCTTCCCCATTATGCTGCCAATCAACCACCAGCTGATATCCCGTCTTCCAGACGCTATCAATGTGAGCTCCTAATCTTTACAATACTACTAGCTGCAAGTCATCCCAATAAGAACACAAGACAGAACTCCAAAATAACAAAAATCCTGATCAATCGCTCGTCTTAAAACCCATGGACCTTCGGATTCATCTATCCCTCACCTTAGGCTTGACTGAGACCGTTCCGCGCCGGGATTCAACTAAGGTTTTAGTCCACGTTCCGCCCACATCTGGAATCCTGAGCCATGCAAGCCATCGCGATGACGAAGTATATTTGATGGCTCCTATTCGCCGAAGGCCAGCCCGAGGCTATGGTACAAAAGCTCTCAGACCCCGGTTGAGCTTAGGTCTTCTTGATTCTGGTACTGCGCCGATTGGGCCGTGCATACACCCCGGGTATTGACTCTGATAGCCGAAAACTCCACAATAGCCGTTTGATGCTGTTTATACACGGCAGTCAGAGAGGACGAGGGGTATAAGAAGGGGCATGGTACGTTGATCCTCATTATATCCTGCCTCTCTTGACTAAACTACCATAACTTCCAAGTTAAACAGTTCTCATCTGATAGTCAAACTCAACGATGTCCCTCGAAAAGATCCCCGCCTCGGACATCAAAGTCGTCAAATCGGGCGACACCTACCAAGTTGAAGGGTGCGTCTCTGAATATCCTGCTACATCTACTATGGTACATATGCTAAAACTGTATATATTCTCCAGCCGCCCCCGCGAAACCTTCACAATCCTAAAAACCCACCACCCGTCCAACCTCCCCGGGAAACAAATCATCGTCGGCAAGATCCTCATGGACCCCAACTCCGCTAGTCCCCCCCACACGCACGGGGGCGCCGCGATCGTGGCCGTTGTCACCGAGGGCACGGTCCTCAACCAGATGAATGAGGATGAGCCGATTCTTACCAGTAAGGGTGAGGTCTTCTATGAGAGTCCTGGGTGCCACCATGTGCGCAGCGAGAATAATACGGATGGCAGGGCGGAGTTTATTGCGGTGTTGGTTGTGGATGATGAGGTTGTGAAGGATGGATATCAGAATATCTTTGTGTTGGATGCGGAGAGGACGTCGAAGTAGGGCGGCCTCTAGGGGGGATGGAAGGGTAAGGGCTTTTTCTTTTCTTTTCTTCTTTTCTCGCAAATTGGACGTCGCAACGCGTAGATGTGGAATACCGTATTTGTCTACACATTCAGCCGAAATTGCAACGACATGAGATTGATCTCAGCCCCGGGCTCAGATGATTTCCTTAACCCACTCAGTAACCCTCAGTACCTAGAACATTTAGACTTCTGAAGGGACATCCAAGTCCACTCAATATACTGGTGGTAATCATTCTCAGTGGTTGACGTAACCATCGGGTCGGGTATGGAGGTAGGGCTGGATAGGCTATTGCCATCCTCACTAAAAGTCCCCGCGCTAGACGGAGCCTGAGTGATGCTGTCTAAACTGCCCCAGCCAAGATCGACTTGACTCACTCCTTCAGGCCAGTCTGTCAACACGCCTTTCTCACTATCCCAAAGCTGGAATCCAGAAGCTTCTCGTGGAAATCGTGGATCGGGCTGCAGGTGAGGAGATGTGTCCTGGATGCCCTGGCAGATATTTGTTCTTGTCTCGGGAATGCCACATCTACCACGCCTGCTCTATAAGTATACCTAGGTAGGGTCGGATGACTTATGCTATCTTATTGGCGCATAATTCTCTCAGAATCCATTTTCTATATCTATTCTTCTCACAATGACGAAGGCACCCTTATCTCCTCGAGTTGTGATGAAACACCGATCCAGACGGACAAGACTTAGCGGCCGCACCAAGCTTACCCTGGCATCGCTATGCATTTTCCTCGTTCTCCTCCTGGCGCTGAGGATGAAGGGGCATTCTCTGCCACACAGACGAGAACAAGAAGACACTCGTCCGGAGAAGTGTAAGGCATGCACATACTTTCGTCCACATTTCTCATATCGCGTCTAGTGATAGCAATCCACCTCGGACCATCCGAGTCCCGCGTGGGCATTATGGAGAATAACCGCGTTTATATTATCGCCGGTTTGGACGGAAAACAATCCATACCGTCATATGTGGCCGCGTTGAATGGAAGCCTGGTTGCTGGAGTTGCAGCGAGGGATCTCGGCGGCCCGAATCTTTTCAAGGCTACACTGGACATGATGTACGAGCTCCGTTTTGCTTCATTCGCAGAGACAAAACTGACGTCTGCCTCTAGGCACTACTTAGCCAACGGGGGCTCGGGTGACTTCCCACTCAAACGATTTGGTGATTCTCTCAGCTACACGATGCACGAAGGGCAGTTCGCTCTCCAAGTCCTCAACGAGAATAGCACAAGCACCTTCACTACACCCAAGATCTACGCTGCACTCTTTTTAAAGCTACGCTCAATTGCACAGTCATATCTCGGACCCGATGTCAAGGTTTCCGGTGCAGTAGTCACGCTCCCGTTCCCAGACGGCTACGACGACAACCCTAAGTCCCATATCACGACGGACAGCGTCCGTAAAGACATCCTCGTGGCGGGCGATATCGCGAATTTGCCGATGATCCGGATCCTCCGCGAGTCGGTGGCGATTGGAATAGCGTTGGGGCTGGATTGTCTCTCTGATCAAGACGGTGTTCGCCGTGTTCTTATTCATGATCTCGCGGGGGATCTCGGTAGTCTTGCGGTGACGATTGTCGAAATTGACGACGGTGTCTATGAGATATTGGCGATGCATAGAGTGGAGAATATTTCCGAGGGAAGGGTCCTGGAAAGGGAAGCGCCGCCATATAACTCGCAAGACAGCTCGATACTAGACCGTCTTATCGAGGGATTCGTCTTCGAGCGACCTGGTCTCTCGCAGGAGCAGTCGGCCAGCGTCAAACTGGCACCGGCCTGTCCGTCGTGCGCTATCCAGCACGCCAGTATCGAGGCAATCCACAACGCCCTCGCGAAAGCGAAGATTCCAGTGGAAGCGGTCACAGACCTCGTCTTCATGCCGTCTTTCCGATTATTCCCCAGGGTGCAGAATCGTGTCGCGTCGTGGTTCGAGGACGAGAACCTCCGGATCGCGAACGCGGCGAACCTCAGCGAGGCACCGATTTGGGGCGCGACGCTGCAAACGAAATTCCTTGAGGAGGATTACGGGGTGGTTGGTGGCTGGTGCTCGGCGGTTCGTCGGGGGGTTGGGGTTTCGACTGCGGATGGGGACGTTGTTGAGATCATACCTGCAGGTCACAGAGTCCCGGAATTAGGGAAGCAGACGTTTACGACGGACGCCTTGTGCGGGGACAAAGATGCACAAAGTAAGGGTACGCCCTCGATCAAAGTCTCCTTGATACATATCCCCGATGTGGACTATCACGCCAAGTTCGAGCTGGGCGATGCGTATGTCTATGATCCGACTCGGCAATATATCCTCCTGGGCGAACTCGAGCTAGGCAGTTTATGCAATGGCAAAGAGTTGACTATCGAAGTATCGGCCCTTGTGAATCGGAATTCTGAGCTGTCTGTCCAGGTCTCTGGCATTGACAACGGCGACTCGGTGGTCTGGACGCTCCCAGGCGTGGACTTCTGGTGGGGAGATGGGCAAACGTCGCGAAACATCACGTATACCCATGGCGGGGATCTGGAGATGGAGTGTGAGAAAGAGTTGAAGAACTTCGTTTCGGCGTCGTGGGATCAGAAGGCGACAGATGCGCTTGATCGGGGACTGTTCGAATATTTCCATTTGTAGGACGTTCGTGGTCGATTGGAGAAAATATATATTTTGGGTCGGATAGCTGTGTATCACCATTCCAGACACTCGAATACTCGACATCAAGATTCCGAGCGTCTCAGAGAATCTCATCCATGAATGGCATCGAGAGTACCATAGTCATTTGCCCAACAATCAACTATTTCTTGCGCAACATTGCTGGACCCTAAGCCTCCTGTTGCTTGTTGTCGGCCGAGTGAGATTAATGCAGTGAGCCACGGCTCACTGATCACACCATTCGGCGCTCCGCGGAAAAGACAGGCCGCTGAGTCAGGGCTGACACATTGATTGCAGGAATTGATTGCTTCAAGACTTTCGGGCCGAGTCAGCTGAGGCCTGCGTTCCCCGCTTTGCTTTTGCTCATCGTTCAGCCTCACCAGCACCATTGTCTGAAGAATCGACAAAGCGACCAACAATGACGGAAAGACAAACTCCAGGTACGCGACGGGTATCATTAGCCTGTGTACCCTGCCGCTCCAAACACCTCCGCTGTGATGCGACAACCCCGGTATGCGGTCGCTGTCGGGATGAAGGGCTGCAGTGTGTCTACTTAAGGTCGAGGAGGGGCGGGAGGAGGACGAAGGGTCAAGCCCAACAGTCCTCCAGTACAACTTCAACATCAACACCATTTTATTCAGACTCCTCGCTTCAACACCATGTCCCGCCACAGCAACCATTCCCAACGACCACCGGATTCGGCCCCGCTTCAGTCTCAGACGACGAGCGCAGCAGCTCAAGCGACTCTCAAAGCAACTCGCCGAATGACCAGTTTCTCCCGCAGTATTATTCCTTCTTCCACGCCGCGCATCCGTGCGTTCTGCCGCAATGGGCGCTGAAGCAGCGGCTCGCCAGCAACGGGCAGGACCTCCACGCTCTCATCCCGGTCCTCCAATTCATTGGTTCGGTGTACGCAAAGTCGACAGTATCCCCAGTCCTGAAAGTGGAAGCCGAGCAAGCGGTTGCTTCTATTGGGACAAGCACACCGATAACCGGCTTCGACGTCCAAGCCGTCTTGCTGCTGTCGATTGCCGTCTACTGGGCCAATGAACCCGACAAGGCACTGTCTTTGCTCGACAAAACGATCGCGGTGGCCTTGGAGCTGGGAATGCATCGACAGTATTATGCATACGCGAATGGAAACAACGACCCCCTCGTTGAAGAGTGCTGGCGACGGACCTGGTGGCAGGTCTACATGACAGACGCACATATCGCGGGCAGTACGAGCACATTCCCGTTTCGAACAAGTGGAATCGAGATGAGTTGCGACCTGCCTTGTGATGAGGCGGAGTATGAGTCGGGGGTATATTTCTCCAACCCTGAATGGGGATCAGGTATGCTAACATTCAATAGAAGATTCCCCGGCCTCGAACACTACAAGACTACGACATGCGTGAATTCCTCGACGACAACGAGCGGATATTCTCATCCTTTGCAGAAATGGTCGGCCTCACGCGCGGTCTTGACCTCGCACTCTGCACCCGGAAGGGCATGACCATTGCCAACGCCCCTACCATCTGCTCCAACGCCGACGCCACGGTGACGGCCTGGAGGTCGTTACTCCCTCCGTCAAAGAAAGACCTTGTTCGAGAAGACGGCACCGTCGACGAGCTCCTCTTCAAGGCAAACATGATTATCTCCACGTACGTCTCTATATAAATCACTCAAAACTGTGCTAATGTCGCAGATACGTCGTCGAACTCCACCGCCAACTCTCTACCCTATGCTATAGCGAAATCGAGTCGATAGCGCACTGCTCGCCCGCTCCACCCCCGGAGAGTCTCCGCGGATGCAACACTCCAGAATGCCAGCTCCACACTGCAAAGGTGCTCCGCGCGATTGATGGCTTCGACGACCTCTTGACACTCCCTACGAACATCGCAACACATACGCCCTTCATCATCTGCATGATCTCTAACCTGGTCATCGCCCACCTCGCCGCCTGCCGCTTTCACTATCAAGGGCAGCAGCTGAAGCTCGCCCGCGAGCGAATTCGGCTGAGCATGGGCGCGCTGAAGGTCCTGGGTGAGTACTGGACTATGGGGCAGCGGACGTATCGGGAGGTCGGGATCGTCGCGAGAGAGATTCTGGGGTTGAAGAATGTGCCGAAGCAACAGCAGCAACTGCCATCACCGGTTCCTACAACTACGCCCACCGCGATTCTCGGCAATGGGACAATGTTGCAGTCTCCACCAACGTCAATTCCACCGCTTCAAGCCAAAGGAGACCTCCCAAACGAGGCCGAAATGCTCGATATCTCGAATTATCTCGACCAGACCGGGTTCCCGGATCTGCAACTACTTGACTCGACCTTCGATTTCTGCGGCTTGTTTGATATGAATATGGGTGGCGCGAATGTCAATGTGCCGTATATGACTGTTGTATAGGGGTCGTATTTGTGCATGGACTGGAAAAGAACGTTAATGTTGATTGGATCTCTGCTCTGGCCGATAGGTAAATATAATATAATGATAATGGTAATGAATAAATGACAGTGACCCTGGCTCCTGAACTTGGCAGGTAAAGCCTCACAACACAAGAAATAACTCTTCGGATTGCTCATCAATCTACCATACCCATGGCCCTTTTCAACGAGTAACTGAAACCACAGCACAACTCATACCCCGCAACAATCCCATCTCAGTTCTGCCCCGTCTACCACGGCACAACAAGCGCAAACCCGACCAGAAACGACGCAGCCAGAACCCCCACCATCCCACCCACAGACCCCCAAGCCTTCGTACTCGTACGCCCGAGCCGCAGCGCCCCCGCGGCATTCGTATTCGTATCCGTCTCACTCGCAGCATCAGACCCATTACTCGACCCACTACCATCACTCCCACCCGACGACGAATTGCCCGCTCCCCCCTGGCGATCCCCCTCTCGCCGCACCACATAAACAGGAACCTGCAAGCTCGCAACAACAAGCTCATCCCTATCATCGGCATCAATGCTCCTCGTCCGCGTGCTCTCCGGCGTCCGCGGAACCGTGACCGTCGGGACCGCGATGGTGCCGCTCCGCGTCGTCCCATCAATCACCCAGCTCGTGCTCGTGAACTCCAGGTTCCCGTTGGCGTTGCTGTAGTCCGCGATGCAGGCGGCTGTTATTGAGCTTGATGGGGTCGGGAGTGTGCTGTAGCAGAGGCCGTTGCGGGCGGGGGTCATGGAGCTACACGGAACAATGGTTAGTAGGCATGGAGACTGGGTGGAAGGGGCAAGGTAAGGGTTGATGAGGGAGAAAGGGGGGTGGGTAGGCACACCTCGGACAACACGCAACAGCCGTCTCGCTGGGATCTAGCAGCGCCCCGAACGCATCGTGCAGCCCGAGCTGGATATAGTCGTCGTCGAGGATATCGTCGAGCTCCCACCTGCCCGTAGCCAGAGCTCCAATCGTGAATATACCCGACGACGTCACGTCCTCCGCACTCCCTGTCCTTGCCGCAGATCCAACGCTCTTCCAGCCAGACGGGCAGTTCGCGCCGGGGGACCAGTAGGGCACGTTCCGCTGGTTGGAGAGGTAGTCGTCCAGGAGGTCGGTGTTTGAGGGACGCGGAAGGCAGCTGTCGTATGCCGTGCTGGGGCACGAGGCGAAGAGCTCAGGGATGTCGGCATCGTCGGGCTCGGCGTAGTAGATTTGGGGCGCTGGGGTGCAGTCTGCCGACACCCAGGTTGTGGGCGCGGTGCCCCAGTTTGCGAGGGTCCAGCCGAGGGTTGAGGAGGCGGTTGGCATGCTGTCGCTGTATGGAGTAGGCGGGTGAGTTCTGATGGGAAGAATGTGGGGATGGTGAAATGGTGGTGAGTTTGTCAGGGTGCATGAGATGGCGTCTTACTTATATCCTACCCCATACCCTATTGTACTCTGATAATGGTACGTCCCTGCATTCATTCATTGACAGTGGACTGTCCTCGTCAGACTGCAATGCTCCGACCAGTCCGAATCCCAATCCCAACTGTAATTGCTGCAATTGTTAGGCAGCAGAAATTCCCCTCCTCGCTGATTGCCCGCCTCCAAAGCGAACTGGTCCCGTACTCCGGCCAGCAAGTGCTGCGCCTCGTCAGCGTATGCAGTGGGAGACTCGGAGTCGTTGCTAGTGGCTGATCATCAGGGCCAAGAGCCCCCCGCGTCGTTTCACCGACAATGCCAATGCGGATTCGGCGGGTTTCATTGGTGCAGACTGGGGTACACGTCACTTGTGCGACGATGAGATCGGGTTTGGATTCAGGGTTCTTGGCTTTAGGCTCGATTCGCGCTGGACTGTGGTTTAAGGTTGGTCGGGAGTCGAGGGTTCGTCATCTTCTACCTAACATCCGTCTATTCCTAGCGCACTTGCAGGGACTATCACGGGCTCATTTAGGGTTCACCTTTATGTAGTCCTTCCCTACTTTAGTCTTCCTTGGCAGCTTGCAGCTTACCTTGTCTTATCTTGTATGGAGTAGTTGGAAGCCAAGCATGCATATCCCGGTTGATAGATCCAAGTATAGCTCGTCCAGGCAACTACATTCACGGATATACAGCAAGGGTTTGTGAGAGCTTCAAGCCAAGCACAGCTTGCGTGTCCCCTCTGGCCTGGGATCACGCGTTGATGCGCCATGTGGGAAGAGCTGGGTGATGAGAGGAACCTGGCGGTGCAATTGCTGGAAGAAAGGTGGCAACCTCAGCGTGAGACCAGTTATCATTTCGCAGGTATCATGCAAAATGTCCATCAATTTCATAGCTCCAAGAAAGCTGGATTCGGGTACAGGTAGCCGAAGTGCTGTCAAGAGCTGGTACTCGGAATGTGCACCGGCTTGTGGCTTAGGCAGTGCTATCAGGCCTTCAGATGCACTGTCGCCCTGGGACGCAACGATTTGGCCACAAATCGGGTTCATGAATATTCTGGTATCGATCATGGTCCTGCTGCTTTCAGCGTACGCAGCCTCCCTTGACGTAGTTCGCACCAACTCTTGCGTGTGAAACTTGACCTTGCATCTATTAGTGATATCGACTTCATTGCGCTTTTAAATTGGCTGTGTTGGTAGGAAAACACCCGTTGGAGGACTATAAAGCGCAGTAAGATTCTGTAGGGAAGCCGTTGATGGAGGTACTGCAAGGTCCGGCTAAAGATATATTAGATGAAACTGCTGCTGCGAAAAATTGCGAAAAATGCTAAATTATAAAATCCTCATCAACTAAGGAACATCAGCCAGAACAACGAACCCGCATATCTCTCCTCACCCCAGAGTTGATGGACCGCATCATTGGCTGCCACAGGAACCACTCGTAGGCCCATCACGCCTGCTCCTCCGGAAGAGACCCCGAGGACTGGGCTTCTTCCCACCATGATCAGGTTGTTGTTGAATTAACCCCTGCGCAGACTGACAATTGCCACCGTGACCCTGCCCCCTCACACTCGAGATAGGTACCCTAGGCTCTATAGCATCATTAGCACCGGTCCGCTCTTATCAACACACGGGTCCCATACCAATCGGGCCAAAGTAAGTAAGCATCTCCTTCGCAACCGCCGCGGCCGCCGCAGCAGCATACGCATTCCACTCGTCACTCGCATGCGAGTCGCAGTAGTTCGCAATCCCGCGGATAACCACGCACTCGAACGCCTTCATCACCACAGCAGCCTGCATGTCAATGCATAGGGCGCCACCTGCGTCGCGCGCAATACTGTCCCGTACGACGCCGTTCCGAATGACCCGATTCCCCGACGCAACAATCCCGTAGAAGATCTGCGACTTCGGTGCCCGGTGCGCCCGCGAGACGATATGTCGCTTGTTGCATCCAGTGCACGGCGCACCCTCGCCGACATGATGGTACTCAGACGCGAAGAGGACGTCCGTCGCGCCCGGTGGCTGGCGGTACACGCGACTCAACTCGGGATGCCTGTGTAGCATGAGCGAGATGTACTCCGCAACGCGGTTGCTATGCTTCCGGTGCGTCGACTGCATGACCGGCATCATGGACGTCCAGGGCACGGGCACAGGCGCAAGATGGCCCTTCATCTCGAACCCGTCTGTCGTCTCCTGACCCAGATCATAGCAGACCACGCCGCCTGATGTTCCGGCCGGTGCACTGACGACCACGTCGCCGAGGCGGATGTCGTGTTGCTTACTGGGCACCCCGCCCGCAATGCCGACGAGCAGCCGCAGCTCGACCGCGGGGAAGGCCCGCGTGATGTTCACCGCCGCGGCGGCGGCTGTGTTGATTTCGGCGGGCCCGGTGGGTAGTGTCGTGATGACGAGGTTGTGGGGGCCCAGTCTGCCGAGGATATAGGCGGTTCGGTCGCGGCTTTGCGCGGGGACGGGGAGCTGCGGGTGCTCTTCGTCGAGCATGTAGCGGACGGCGGTTAGGTCGAGTTCCAGCGGGCAGATCACGGCGACGGTGTAGTCGTTGTGGGTTAGGTGGGTCTTGAGGTTTACGCTTGCCATTGTGGTCTTGAGTGCTTGGGTCTGTTTCAGAGGAACGAGGATGATGGGATGGCTATGATGGGCCTGGGACCGGGTTTATATCCCCAGCAACCAGCTTGGAAGCGCTGCGCTCGTCGAGGTACATTTTCAGCTTTCTTCCTCGATATCCTATGAATCTGTGAACGCTGTGCTTGGCTCAAACACCGCATGGTCCGGAGGCTAGACAAATATATATCGTGGGAATCGTGTGGCCATCGGCCGCCTTACGGAACCCTAATGAAGCCTCCACACGCCCTCTCTATCGAAAGGCTGAACGCTTCCACGCAACAAAGAATGGCCTGTGAGAAGCACGCCAACCTAGCCAATTGTTGGGACAGCAATGCTTTCCGCACTGTTTCTATATCGATTGGATGTTCTTGCTCTCGCAGGGCCGTACCTAAGCGCCGCGATATAATTTTGGAAACCTCCAACCGACGTCTGCCATTAGCCGCAGGGATCGATCGACTCAACTTTAATGCGCTTCAGTATTCTCAGCCCGCCGAGATTAGTTCGCGATTCGCCCTGGATGTTATTGGCCAGCAAAGGTTGTTCGTGAGGCTGGCGGTTTGGGGATGTTCTTCCTAAACAAAGGACCCCGCTCACCAAACATTGTATGCTACGCTCGGCATCTGCTACCTAAATCCATTAAAAGGTCTATTGAACAAATGACTATTTGGCGACAAATACGCACTTCCAAGCCCAGGTCAGCCATCGAAACCCGCCTTGGGCGAGCATGAATTCTGCGCGTGAAGCCGCTGGTCGCAGTCGCCCAGAGGATGGCGCCAGTTTTCCTTGAAATGGCCGAATATTGAGGCGTTCACTGGTTCCAAGAACGCAGAGCGCATGGGCGACAGCGTTTTGCACAAAGGGAAGCACCTGATGCCACAGAAAAAAAAATAGTGTAAGGGTCCGCCAATGGCAGCCCGCGAGGAACCGCTCTACAGCCGAAGAGGCAGAAGACAAAGAGACGGCAAGAAAAAAAGCCGTCGAGAAACACATGCGCCGTCGATCATCCTGCGGAGCTGTCATGCAAGATGTTGTTGTTCTCTTACTGGAGCTGCCGGGGCTCAACCCCTTGCGGTATCTCGGCTCGGTCGCACATTGCCGCTGTCTCCCTGCGAGACCGATATTCGCATTTGCAGATCGCGACAGGCGAAGCAACGCACAGCAAACACAAGATTCCCGCGAGTGTGGAAGAACCCGATCGGTGGATACACTACGCCGACACACCCTTTAGGCACAGAGCGCCGAGGCACTGGGACAACCGAACAAAGAACGCCGAGCTGATGGACCATGGACTAACGTCTCCCTTGAGAGTATTCAATCCCAGAATATTGTGATTGATGGGGCTAAGATGGTCTCGCGAAGTGGACGATGAATGATGGTGGATGGATTGTTGTGGCAGATGACATGAACGATGACAATTGGCATGATTCAGGGACAGCAGCTCGGGATGGGACACGTGGGGGATCAAACAAAGAGACACTCCACGGTACGTTACATTCTGGGGTTTAGAGTTGCTCTACTGGACACACTGGAAGTGGGTGGCGCCATGAATGGCTATCGATTCTATTCAGTTTCCAGGACGGATGATGCAATTCAGGGTCTGGAAGCTCGAACTCTTGGAGCGTGAACGCGCTGGACTTCACTTCTTTGTTCCTGGTCGTGGATGGGGCTGTGAACAACAACGGAACCTATTCGATTCCCAGTACGGATGATGGGCAGGGTCTGGAAGCTCGAACTCTTGGAGGGTAAGCAGGGCAGCATAAAGCTGATCAACCACCCCGGTCTCAGGAGGGCTCCTCCTGCTTGATATTCTACCACAGCAAACAAGTTCAATCTACATAAACGACTCAACAGTGCGACACCCTTGCTCCCTTCACGATGCCAGTCCCTATGAATGGAGGAAAGTTGGCATGTATGGCTGCCCCAAGCACCTCTATCCTACGTTCGTATGGCTCATCAAGCTTCCTCCAGTTGAGGTGGCCAAAATGCTGGATCAGGCTGGCGTGCCAAACGTCATTTGGGGATGGCTGGCTCTAGGCCTGCATACAGCCGATAATGGCAACCGCGTGAGCCTTCAACACCACCATTGTTCTAACTTGTGGTGACATCCGCTGCAGGAAATCGAGTTCGTCATCGCCGACAAGAAACTCGACGAGGCCAAACGAGTCCTTGCCGCGGCCGGCTTCACGGCCTGCACCGACACCAGCTGCGGCGAGCTCTGCGAGGACCGCTTCCCCGTCGAGAAGATGGCAGTCGTCTTCGGCACCATGGACCTTGCCACTCGCGGGGCCGCCATGGGCGCCGCGTACTCCTTCGACCGCTACCACCCCGTGCCCGCGGTCCACTACCACGTCCAGGGCCTACCGCAGTGGGCCCCTTACGAGTTGCTCTCGCTGCACAAGCAATCCGCCCAGCTCTGGTGGCTGCCCGAACTGAAGACGGACGCGCCCGCACCGGACGACAGGAACCTCACCCTCACCAACTCCGCTCGCCTGCTAACGGGCAACGGACGGACCGCGCCCTTCAACGGACCAGGCCAGTACCCCATGAAGGTCCTTCTCCCCTGGGCGTTTCTCGAAGCGGTGATTCTGCTCCGCTGCCGCGACTACGGGCACATGCGGGACCTGCATAATCTCTGGAGGTTCAAGCTGATGTACTTCGTGCCGCATGATGCCGACGTTCGCGATAAGCTCGATCCGCAGTTCAAGCCCGTCTGGGATGCGCTGAACCAGCGCTTGCCGGCGCACGTCTGGAACGTACATGTTCCGCTTGGACAGTTGCGGAGGAAGTTGATTGCCGCTGGGGAACTTCCTGACATCCCGACGCCTAACAAGGCCGAGAAGATGCCGGGGGGCTGCGAGGCTCGCGATCACAGCTCGGGATGGCCGGGGGGGTTGTGATATGCCGGCGCTGCTGCTGATCGCACTTCCATAGTCGTTTTGCTTTTGGGTTTTCTCTTGGTTTTGCTTTTGGTCTTGCTTTGTATGAGCCTGTGCTTCTTTAATGCTGAGGTTGTTCCTCCTTGACGCTGTTGATGATGTTCCTACTGTACGTGGACATATAAACAAAGGCTCGTTCATTGTAGATGCCAGCCACAGCCCTCCCCTTTGTCTCTGGCTCTTTACCCATCCTACGCAGAAGCAAACAGAGGCGTCGCGGGGCAATTTTTCTCATCGATCCCCTTTCCTGTTCTTCTCCTCGTTTCCCATCTCCATCTCCATCTCCATCTCCATCGCCATCCAGTACATCCGTATCCCACCGTATCGCGCGATATCCATCTCTCTTTTTCGACCGACATCTCCTGCAGAGAACCTTCAAGCCATGCTCGCTTTGCACCCTCAGCCCTCTGCGACCGCGAACGCCCATCTTCCCAACGACGGAATCCTCAACCCTTCGTATCTCCACGATGTCCGACCGCATCTCCAGGCGCGTTGCCAGCCAGGTCATTGGAGCCTTGCATCTCGCAAACCTAGGCGATCTAGCAATTACGCTTGCCGGTGGAGTTGCCAAGTCAGTCCTCCTCTACCCCAATCCGCTGCGGCTGCCGTGTGTCCGTCACTAACTTTGAGCGCGCACTGCTTCTAGGCCCGCCGGCCGAGCCTCCGGTATCCCCATCTTACGCCGCTATCGCAACTCGATTCCAACTCGCTCCTCCCCATGTACCGCAGTGACGACGTGTTCGCGTTGATGGTTCGTTCCTGTGCGTTTAACGCGGGTCTTCAGCGCCAGATCGCCGTAGCGTTCGCCCTGCAGCTGGCGCAAACCGTGCTGTTTGAGCATGGTCAGCCGGATGGAACGATCCATTTGACCAGCTATCAGCAGTATGTCCTCCGCATCGGGTGGAGCCGTTTCCGCCGCGAAGCCGACGCCGTGCCCGAGCAGATACTGGCGGCGCTGCTTGCGAACTAGAGGACTGATGGATGGTGGTGTCGGGCGCGATGCGACGATCGGGTTGCGTCCTTGCACACATCCTTGCGTGGCTTGAGCTCCTAAAGGGCTTTCGAAATGAGGTGGAAGAGGACGGATGCATTGATTTGATTATTGCCCGGGTAGAAGGGCTCGAGATTTGGCATTTTGAATATGTATGACAGCCATAGTGTCCATCGCATTTCTTTCGCGAGAGAGTCCAGTCTCCTGTAGATTCTTCCATTAGGGGTCAAGCGGTTGTTTGACATGTCGTTCCTCTGTCTTTGGGGGCGTCGACTTCGATTCCGTCGTCGCGCAATAGATGAGTAGCTCTATGCCAGTGCCGAGCTGCAAGGCTCCTGCATAAGATGGGTTTTATGTAGTGGACACCATAGTATCCCTCCACTTGGTGGCCTGTCGCCCTCCAGCAGACTCTGCCTGGGGTGGGGATGGTGTATGAGCACCTAGTCTACTGCCCTACTTTGAACCTTGCCGTCCTGTTGGTAGCCTGGAAAAGCGTGAATGTAGGTAGCTTGATTAGGATGGAAGCTCCTTTACCAATCCATGTAATTTTGACAGAGAAGCCGCTACTCTGGCGCCCCGATCTCACTCTGTACGTATTCAAGCAGCCTAGTGGGTGGATTCCGCTCGATCCAAAGGTCGAGCTAAAAAAAAAAAAGTGGGTGTGGCCCAGGCTATTACACCCAAGTGGTTTTGTTCCGAATAGCCTCATTTTTGGTCTTTTCAGATGGTGCTCGGCAAACTCTTCTACCTGGCTCACCCGGACAAGTTGTTTCCGCTCTTTCTCGCGATTCCATCAAAAACTCAAACTCAAGACCTCATATTCAACCTCGGCATTCTGTACTCCTTGTCCGATTCTAAAATGCAGCCAAACCCATCAACCTCCAAACTAGCTGAGGCTCACAAAGCAAACAATCGCCGCTTTGCCTTCTGTCCCAATGGCCTATGTATACTGACATCGAAACACGTCTTGACTAAAATAGTCCAACAGAAAGCAAGAATACCCCTGCATCAAAATAATGTCAAATGTACTATACCTTTCTACACTCAAGGAAGCCGAGAATATCGCCTTGCTTAACTGGTGAAGATAGCGACAAGGTACACTAAATTTCCATGCGTTGTATATCACAGGCAATTGTTGAATGAATGGCATGGACCTTTAAGCTCTTGAACCCAACTCTCCTCGCTCAACACTATCAACCTTGACGCTGTTGCTCCTCTCTTTGCTTCTCCAGCTTCTGGTCGCTCCAGGCTGGTGTCTGCTTTCCTCGGCCAATAGGTTGGCAAAGGAACTCTGGACCTAGAAAGAACTGGCGGCTCGCATCGTCAAACGCCTGATTTAGTTATTAACTAGGGCTCAGACCAACGATCGGGATCACCATTGCTCACCAGGCGATGGCTGCGATTCAGAATACCCGGTGTGGTTGATGCCTTTGATGTAGGCTGTTGGTTTACAGACTTCGGCTTTAGCTACCTACCCTTCGCCCGAGAGTTTTTACTACGGAGTTCTATATTCCATCGTCTCGCCCCTGATGCCTTAGTACTGATATTAAGTATTTTGCATTGGCCTACGCATTCCTGCCAGCCAACCTAGGACATGGCCAGGTTCTCGGCGCCCGGACTGAACATTCCTTGTCTTGGCTATGGTGGTTAGTGCTTGTTGTGCCAGGTCAGACCACAAATAATTTATAAGCAACTTGGTGGCGTCGCTTCCGACCGAGGCTTGCAGAAGTAAGCCATCCTGCTCGAGGCGAGCTGTTGGCCGTTGGCATCGCAGTGGCTATGGTAGTCGCACAGACGGGACGGCTGCGCCCACGCGTCGAGAGTCGGAGAATCAAGAAGCAAACAACGCATCGGCGTTCCACAACACCCGTTGCAGCTGCCCAGCTGCCAGCTGCGACGCAAACTGCGGCGGCTATTGCAGCCCGCAGGAATATTGGAGGCTAGCCCTCCAGCTCCGGCAGTTCCTCTCCGGTTCGGGAGATGGCTGCGCGGGTGAAATGGGGCCGGCGTGATGGGGCCTCTCACTGGTGGAATCGGGCTTGTTTTAGCCCGCCAAGGGTCTATCTTTGCCTGGTTTAGTATGGGCGGCATCCTGGAGGCGGCTAGATGGGGGGTGCAGCGAGATATGATAACCCGCCAATGTGATAGCGATGGAAGAGAGCAGCGGTGTGGGATATCCGGTGGGTTGACGCGCTCTGACATCTTCATCGAGCACTTCAGGGAGGATGAGATACGCGAGAAACGAAACGCTGCTGGATGCCGAGCTCGTTTGCACGAAGTTCCATAGGCATACTGGTATAGGGCTCGGGCCTGAGCCACCCGCCCGTCTTGACGATGAAACAGAAACGCTGACACCGGGCGATCTGATCGCCAATGATGCCCGTCAGCCTTGCTGCTGTTGGCTGAAAATCAGCATTAAGCCGCATAACCCGCCTTATCACCATTTGCGCTGCACAACAGGCCACACGCACGCGGAGGCAGCCGCCCGCTAAGACGATCGGCCCAGTTATCCGGAAGTCTTGTCGAATATAGAATGCTCCGTCTCCCCTTCTAGCGTTCTTGGTGTTTCTTGCGTTCCTGTGCCCGGGTGATTCGTCTTCCTTCCAGTTCCTACGGTCGGCTGGCCAGAGAGCCAAGGGAGCGAACCCATTGCAGTCAACTCGGCCATCACACCACCATGGCCTCCCAAAGCACACTGACCCCCAGCCCGAGTCTCAGCCGCGAGATCTCTCGCGACAAAAGCCCCCCGCCCCTCCAAGACGCCGACCTCGAAAAAGCGCCCACCACACCCTCCCCCCGCCAGTCCTCCCGCCAAGTCTTCCCAGAGACCGACCTCGACGCCGGCATCGTCGCCTGGGACAGCCAAGATGACCCCGCGAATCCCATGAACTTCACACAGTCGCGGAAGTGGACGCTGCTCGGCCTCGTCAGCGCGGTGACGGTCATCTCGCCGCTGGCGTCGAGCATGTTCTCGCCTGCCCTCGAAGACCTCGCGAGCGATATGGACATCACGAACGACACGCTGCTGTCGTTCACGGTGAGCATTTATCTGCTGGGGTATACGGTGCGTCTGCCCGATCCAGACACCAACCTTCCATTTGCGCTAACAAAATGGACGGGCGCCAGTTCGGCCCCATGCTCCTCGCCCCGCTCAGCGAGATCTACGGCCGCCGCATCGTCCTCAGCTGCGCGAACTGGTTCTTCGTCGTCTGGCAGATCGGATGCGCGCTCGCCCCGAATCTCGCATCGCTGATCATCTTCCGGCTCCTCGCGGGCGCCGGCGGCTCCGGCTGCATTACGCTCGGCGCCGGTGTCATCGCCGACCTGTTCCCCGTGCACCAGCGCGGCCTCGCGACGTCGCTATGGAGCCTTGGGCCGCTGATGGGGCCTGTTATCGGACCCATTGCCGGTGGGTTCGTGGGCGAGAGTATCGGGTGGCGATGGGTGTTTTGGCTCCTCCTTATTTCCGGCGGTGCGCTGTCCTTCGCGATTGAGTGCTTTAATAAAGAGACCTACGCGCCTGTTATACTGCGCTGGAAGACCGACAAGCTGGGCAAGGAGCTTGGGCGGAGTGATCTGCGCAGCCACTACGACATCGAAGGGAATGATGTGAGTCCCGCGCGCGTGCTGAAGCTAGGGTTAAAGAGGCCGATCATCCTCCTCTGCAAATCGCCCATCGTGCTTTTTCTCGCAACATACATCGCCCTCCTCTACGGCCTACTGTATCTATTCTTCACGACAATCCCCACCGTCTTCGGCGACCAGTACGGCTTCTCGCCTGGCCTTTCGGGCCTCGCATACCTGGGCATCGGGATCCCCGTGTTCATCGGCCTGGTGATCATCGCCACAACATCCGACAAGATCCTTCTGCGCCTTGCAGCCCGCAACGGCGGGAAATTCGAGCCTGAGATGCGCCTTCCGGCTATGGTCTTCTGGTCGTTCTTCATCCCCGTCTCGTTCTTCTGGTATGGGTGGGCTGCGGATAAGAAGGTTCATTGGATCGTCCCGATCCTGGGTATGAGTCCCTTTGGCTTGGGGATGATGGGAGCTTGGATGCCGATTCAGATTTACATCATTGATTGCTATCCCATGTATGCGGCGAGCGGGAATGCGGCGTTGACTGCGAGCCGGTCCCTTGTTGGGGCGCTGTTGCCCCTGGCTGGCCCGAAGATGTTTGAGAGCCTGGGCATTGGGTGGGGAAATTCGTTGCTGGGGTTCATTGCGTTGGGGTTTGTGCCGCTTACGGTGCTTTTAACGAGGTATGGGAAGAGTATAAGGGAGAGGTTTCCGGTTGATTTGGAGAAGTAAGGGGGTGATTTATGATGTTATGATATGGTATGATAGGATATGGTTTCGTCGGATAGACTTGTTAGATTTGCCGGTTACGATATGGATATGGGTATGGATATGAATTTAAGAACAATTAATAGCCATTTGTAGACGCTGTGACCTAGGATCTGCCCGCCTTCTGCAGTCCATTGACTAGCATTCGATGTCGGCGAATGAGGGGGTGTCAGTTACCATGGGTGTTTGTACGTCAGGCCCATTGACACCGAGGCTGAACAACCCGACCTCGAGGAGACCCCGTCCGCACGGAGGAACAAGGATACCCCAAACAACGACATCAATCGCAAAGCGGAAAGAATTCACCGGGACCTTTAAGTTAACAGTGGCCACGAACAGCCCTACACGATAACAGTGTCTACCGACGGCAGGCTTGGGCTGTTGGTGTTGCTGTGAACCCATGGCGTTCTGTGTGAGGATTCCCAAGCGGTAATACACGGCTCGCACACTGGGGTGTATATATTCGACCCCTAACTGCCAATGCCGAGGTGAACCCCCAAGAGGTATACGTACGCTTGTTTCTCAGCTTACCGTGTGGATATGCAGGCATCTGAACACCGAATCTTCAGCATGAACCCTAACTTTGAAGGCGAGTACAAAAAAGCTTCTCAATGCTGGAGGATGTCTGGGGAACGCCGGGCACGGATGGAATAGGAGCGTGGAAGAAAATAGTTAGTCGAGAGGAGTTCAAAATAACAGACGAACCCAAGTGGGAAGAGACAAAAATGTACTTCAGTATCAAGGACATTGTACTTAGACGTAAGTTCGCGTTCTTTTGACATAACCTTTTTGATGCTTCGCTGCGCCAATCCAATCTCATTTTCATTCAGTCCAATTGGTGCTGCACAGGTGGGACATCAAAACCCAGGGCGAGATCCCACGTCCCCATGGCGAATCCTATGACCTCTTGCTATCGAACTGCCAGCATTATGCGCGTCAAGCAGTGAGAACTTTGAACCAACTTAGATGGAATGACGCCAGCCGGTTGCAGTATAGCTTCTGGTTAATCAATTTTAAGGAGGAATTGCAGCACAAACTTTTCAGAGAGAGCAAGGAGGAGGAGATGAGAGTTAGGGACCTCAGGCTTATGGGTTTGAAAGACGTGAAAGGCAAGTTTTTGACCAAATTCTCAAATCCGCCTGTCCGGCTTGCGGGGAGCAGGCAGACGACCCTAGTGCAGCAGTCCTATAACACCATTTTGTGGCTGTAAGCATCCAGGGCGACGCACACCCATTTTTGAAAAGGAACACACGTGGACCCCGACCTCTCGTCTTCGTAAGCCACTGTTATTGTGTAAATATCTACTGGGTTTAGAAATGGGCCGCATTTTGAGCGAGAAAGGGGAGCACGTGATCCCGATGGTCGAGACCTCCAGACCTCCAGAGCAGAGGGCTCCTTCCCAAAAGGATATCAGGCGACAGGGTCAGTACCTGTGGCCGGCATTTTCGCGGCTATCATATTCTAACCTCCACAAGCCCTCTGTCACCGCCAAATGTCGCGCAGCAGCCAGCATGGAGCAAACGGGCGCCAAACGGCGCGCACACCGTCGGAACAAGGAGGCTGTGAACTGGAAGCCGAAATATGAGGCCCAGCCTGATCGCCCCCTTCCACCGGTTAAGCCCACGGCCGCCTCGGACTCCGACTCCAACTCCCCAGCCGCAATTGACATCGCAGCCGCCTGGGACGAATTCGACCGAGCCTTCGCCGATGCGCACGCGAACAACATCATGACCCAATACCTCTTCCTACCAGCGCAGCGAATCAACATCTTCAAGTGCGCAGTCCACTCACCCCGGATCATCAACCGAAACCCGCTGACTAGGTTCGCAGGATTATCCCGCTCATGGTCTTTCCGGTCCTGACATACGAAAGCATCTGCAGATACAAAGCGCCTAAGGACTGGGCCCTGAGAGAGCAGTGCAGGATACAAGCGGATCTTGTTGGATGGGTGGTTGGCGTCTTGATTGTTGTGGTGGTCTTTTACGCTCACGAGCAGATGGTCTTGTGGGCCGTGGATGCCGAACGGGATCCGCCTCCTTGGCCTCGACCGCGCAATGTCGAGAAGTATGCGCGGGATCTTGCGATTGCGGTGGTGTTCGTTGTGGTAAATTTGTGGATTTATAGGGAGAAACTGGTTGGGTGGTTGTTGGCTTTGATTGGAATGGTTTGTAGGATGGGATAGCTTTGCTCGGTGGGGTTTTGACACAGGCGCTTGCGATGGTTGGGCGGGATGAGTTGACGACAAGACGGGCGTGGTATGGAATTATCGATAGACATAATGGGCGGCATAATCGAATCGAACTATCTTTCCGACTGATCCGTTCTCTCTTGACTTTGCGTCTTCCCTAGAGCACCATCAACCCTGGCTAACAAGATCTCCTGCACCTTCAAGCCGGCACGAATCCTATGAATGCGCTTAGAAGCCCATGGCTTCCCGCCCAATCAAGGTGATGTCCATGACTCAACTGAGCAGAACATCACGAAGCTGGCACCATTGCAGAATAGACCGCGGAATGGGTAGCCATAGGCCACGGCAGGCCGCCGACAGGACTCGTAAAGATCTGAGAACCTGAAGTAAGAGACGAATTGAACTGATGGACGCGATGCAACGGGAATGGCGGAGGCTTGGTTATGGTGTACCGCCAAGCGCGAGGGTAGGCTGCCTGAACTGTTGCCGATGACTTTGAAACAGAGGCCCTCATGCATTCTGGGGTCAGTAGGATACGCCCAAAATTGCTTTACTTCTGGGGTGGTAAACCTCACTCAATGTCAAAAGTTTCAAGGTATCCTGCCCTCGGGAGAAGTCATATACTAACTTGCCAACGTAGGTTCCCAAGGCTTCTTGCTGAGGACGGACTGAACAGAGCGCGAAGCGTTGTTTTCGACCAGTCTCAAGACTACTTGATTGATCGAATCATATCGTGAATTCGATGGCTCCGTGGACCCAAGGAACAAAGCCTGTCAATCGAGGGCAAAGGCGAATTGTCTATCCCACATTGGTATCCGAAAAAGGATGCGAGGCCTGCAAGAATCAAGGTGATCTGTGAGGGCTTTGTCCATTACGAAAGCCGTATCTGCGCAGTGGACTCCGATGAGTGGTGATTTGTCGACCGGTTCTGGCGGTCTCTTCTCATTTCTGCGCAGCCCGACGGGTTCATGGGCACAATACTGAAAGCCCGCCATTGCGGTAAACGGCTCTCCCCATGGCGCTTCGGGGACGGCGAGTGTCTGAGCTGCGCCAGGTCGATCGTTACTCGTACAACAGCGGGCAAGCGGCGCCTTGTGTACGCCCACTGTCATATACGGGTGTCATAGCGCTAGTCGCGAGGAAATAGACTTGAAGATGGTGACCCTGAGGCGAGAGATGAAAGTTGGCAGATTGTTGGAGGATTGACGGAGCAAACACCGGAGATAAGCTGAAGTCACATGACAGCGACAACGGCTTGAGTGTCCGGATTGGGTCTAGCGCCCCTTCCCGAGTTTCCTCCTTGGGCTCTTCCACATCTTTCATCACCTTTGGTGAGAAACTGCTATTTGCTCCATCGCATCCAATTTACGTCTTGAATGCGAGGGATACTTTCAATTCATCCGGCCACAGCCATTCATGGCCGCAAACGCGATCCGTTCCTCCAATCATGATACAGTGAGGTCGACCAATCTGCACCTGTGGGGTCACGCAGATGAGGCAATTCATAGATGGACCAGACCGGGCTGGATGGCAAGATCCATGGCTCCAAAACCAGGCAAATTGCTCGTCATGAGGACTGGCTCTGTCTGTGTCAATGATGTCGTGGTTTCCGGCTTCTTCATCACAGTCACACTTCCCCAGCTCTCGATCGATCATACCGCATCAGAAAAACGGCCTATGCCAGACGTTGGAATGATTTGACCTTCGCACAATGCCTTACGCCACGTAAGAACGTTGTTCATTGTGCGCTTCTTAATCTTAAGGCTGCAATCAACACACCTACCCTCATCTACTGCCCATCTTCTGATGGTGCGCTCATCTCCCTCAGTCTGTGTTCTGCAGTTGATATATGGCGGTAACGGTAAGCATACCTTTTTGTAACAGCCGTCGTCCTGGCCAATCGTGGAGCGTCCTATGTTTGTTTCCAACCCGAGGCTAGGCGCGTCTTCTGCAATGGCAGTCACGGTGCTACCTGAGTATTGAACCGCGCCCAACGGGTCTGATGCGCTCGCTGCAACATAACGTACCCCCTTTCTCAACGCATCTGCACTTTACCATGCCGACGGTCTTTCGCGGCAGAGCAGAATCTCCCGGAAATGCTTTGAGAGTCCGGCGCTCGTCGAATGGACGTAATGGGTGATTCGGCCGGCGGGCGCTGGGGATTCGGGTACCCTGGAGCACCCATCCTCCCGGTCCGCATATTCGGGCACCGGATGTAAGCGGGAGCCAAAATACAGGTACTCATCGATCGGAATCCTGCACGTCCTGTCCAGGAGCGATGGCGAGGAGCGGGGCATCGGGAGATAACACTTTGAGTCAACATGCATGAAACATTATGCCAGTGTACTTGCAAAGGCTCGGCTCCAAGAAAGAATCCGAGGACTCGATCAGACAACATTCGGTAGAAACGGCTTAGCTGTGACAAATCAGAAGACTTTCTCACGTCCTGGGCTAATGGGCATCATATACCCCGAGTCCGTGACGTGCTTCGGAGACTGGAAGTTATGGATAGCATCTTGATTCTCCGTGACTTCTAGAACAACCTCCGATTACCAGATCGGGTAATACGCTCCGCGGCCTGGGGCCGATCCCGCCTATCCGTGCAATGCAGTCAAAACGGGTAATATGATACGACATGGAAACAATGAAGCAATATGGAGCAGCAAGGAGCCTGGCAAAAACACTTCACTGGCTGCCCGGTATGCCGACTCGGTTTGCCGACATCCACTTGCGAGTCGTCAGGCAATGGCTAGGTAGTGGGCCTGAGACATTGTGGACATGGTGATCTTATGCCAACCGTGCAAGCCGCACATAGACTGAGCTTGAAAAGCCAAGCATCAAACCGATATACGGGATAGGCTAATCAGCGGCTTGGATCTCGGTTCAGCCGGGGTGGCGGGTTGGTGCCACGACGGACGATTCTTCAACCGGTTAGATGCCGTGGTGCCGGGAGGATGACGGATGGCTTGAAGCTTGGTTAACGCTTGATACAGGGATCGGCCATGTCAGACCCACTGGTTGCCCAGTTTGCCTCACAATGTCATCTTGTCGTGCATCGATGAGCGAATTTCAACCACGGATAGTCGGCTGGCACCGTTGATCGCTGATACCTCGTCACGACTCTTCCATCTCGATACCCCTGTTGGCCGTCACTGGAGACTATATATTCAGCGATTTGTCCCCTTCCACAGTCTGTCTCTCCATCATAGAACAATCTCCCCTCCACCACCCTCACGGCAAACGAAGATGATCGGTCTCGACCCAAACCTCACTCTCCTTCCCCGTCTCGTGGATTACTACGCCGCCGAGAAATCTGACGCCATCTACGCCGAATACCCCAAGTCAGCTTCGAGCTACGACGATGGTTTCTATCAAGTGACCTTCCAAGACTTTGCCAACGTCGTCAACGGGCTGGCGTGGTGGTTGACAAAGAACCTTGGCCCCGGGAAGGGAGAGGTTCTGCCATACATTGGCCCCAACGATGTCCGATACCCGGCCTTGGTGCTTGCCACAGTCAAGGCGGGATATTCTGTATGTACCCCCAGTTCCCTTGCTTTGGTTCTCTCTGGCGTAGCTGACTGGTCAGTTGTTCTGTACTTCACCTCGCAACAGTCCCGCGGCACATAAGAGCCTCATCCAACGGCTGAAATGTACGAAAATGCTTACTACAGAATCCCGGTCGCCTGCTGTCACTGCCATAATCGAAGATAACAACTTGAGCGGCTATGATGTGCCCAGTGTGCAAGAATTGCTGGGGACGGAGCATCCTCACTTTGAGTGGAACAAGAGATACGAGGAGGCGGCAAGAGAAACGCTGGTCATCCTGTAAGTCAGATTGCACTTCATGGAAGTGAGCCACATCTAACCCGATGTGCAGCCACACGAGCGGTTCGACTGGCATCCCCAAGCCCATTTACTGGACGCATGATCTCGTCAATAAACATATGAAGATGGGTCTTCTTGAGACGCCGGCAGGATCTGAGAACATGGACGACTGGACACGAGGTAAAAGGCTGTTCTCTGTCATGCCGCCTTTTCACGTAAGCTTCTTGTCTGAATCTCTCAGTTTTCGTCCCTAACGGTCATTCGTTCAGGCGGCTGGTCTCGCTATCCTGCTCTACTGGGGCTTGCCTCTGGGTCTAACAATTGTATGCCCAACGTCCGTCGGCTTACCAAGCCCATCCGGCCTGGTCCAAGTTACAAAGAAAACCACTATCAACGCCGCGTTCGTCCCCCCTTCCCTGTTACGGGATCTATCCCGAAGCCCAGAAGACCTCGACCACCTGAGCCAACACCTAGACCACGTCATGTACGCAGGAGGAGACCTACCCCAGCCTGTTGGCGACAAGATCGCTTCGAAGGTCCGTCTCGTCAACAGATATGGCGCCTCCGAGCAGGGCCTGCCGATTCAGCTCTTCACCCCTGGCTACCGGGACCCTCTCAAGGACTGGCGCTACGTCCAATTCCACCCGAACCTTGGTATCGAGTTCCGGCATGTCACTGGTGACGAGCATGAAATGGTTATCGTTCGTAAGCCAGAAACCGAGGCCCACGCCGTACCGTTCACTATCTTCCCCGAGGAGCAGGAGTACCACACCAAGGATTTGTGGGTGCGTCATCCAGACACCCGCAACAGGGATCTTTGGCGATACAGTGCCCGCTTGGACGATGTCATTGTCTTCTTGAACGGCGAGAAGACGAACCCGACCTCCATGGAGCAGCACGTCGTGGCTGCCAATGCGGAAGTCACGGGTGCTATCGTTGCTGGCGCCCAGCGCTTCCAGGCCTCTCTTCTCATCGAACTCGCTGGCAACCCCGCGCTGGATGCGAGTGAGCGAGCGAAGTGGATCGAGAAAATCTGGCCCAGTGTGGAAGTAGCCAACGCCCAGTCTCCTGCCCATGCCCGCGTCGATAAGGCGCACATTATATTTACCAGTCCTCACAAGCCCATGCTCCGGGCGGGAAAGGGCACCATTCAGAGAGCGGCCACCCTTGCAGCATACGCGGATGAGCTTGACGCGTTGTATTCCGACGCTGACAAGGTCGCTGCGCAGTCAGAAAGCCATGTCTCCGGCCCGGGGCGCACCACCGATGCGAAGGCGATCGCCGCCTTTGTTCGTGACGTCCTAGTTTCCGTTACCGGTTGGAAAGACGACCAGCTTGGCGATAAAGACAACTTCTTCCATCTAGGCCTCGACTCGTTGCAGGCTATAACAGCGACTCGCTCTTTCACGCAAGGCCTCGACTTTCCCGACTTCACTGTCAACACGATCTATCTCCACCCGACTATTTCGGAGCTGACGCAGGCCGTCATCCGCCACCAAAACGAGGGCTCAAGCCCAGAGGCTCAAGCGAAGGCGCAGCTTCAAGAACGGGACGCCATGCTGCAGGACTTCCTTGATCGCGTCCGCATCGAGACGCCAGCTGAGAAGCAGACCGTCATCCTCACTGGCTCGACCGGCACGCTCGGCACCTACATCCTGCAGACACTCCTCCAAAATCCGGCGATCGCCCACGTCTACTGCCTGAACCGCAGCGACAACGCCATCTCCTTAATGCGGCAAAAGAGCACCCTCTACCACCTCGACATGCCCCTCGACGACCCGTCCCGCGTCACATTCTGGAAAGCAGACCTCACTCGCCCAGACCTCGGCCTCGACCCTTCATCCCTCAAAACACTGCAGTCCCAAACAACCCTCATCATCCACAACGCCTGGGCCGTGAACTTCAACCTCTCCCTCTCCTCCTTCGAGCCGCAACTCCAGGGCGTCGTGAACCTCCTCAACCTCTCCAGCTCCTCCGCCCACTCCGCAAAAACATTCTTCATCTCCTCCATCTCCTCCGTAATGGGCCACAGTTCGCCCGACAAAACTACACCCGAACGCATCATCACCACAACGTCCCCCACACCCAACGGCTACGCGACCTCCAAGTACCTCGCCGAACACATCCTTGCGCACGCGGCAAGCCCCAAAACCCGCAACCTCCGCACTGCCTTCGCCCGCGTCGGCCAGATCGCCGGTGCCGCGAACGCGCCGGGTCTCTGGAACAAATCAGAGTGGTTTCCCAGTCTCGTCCGCAGCTCACTGCAGGTCGGGGCCGTGCCGGAGACCGTTGGGCCAACCCTCGACCGCGTCGACTGGGTTCCCGTCGACCTTCTGGCAGGTGTTCTCGTCGAACTCGCGCTTACTGATGGCGACGACGGCGAAGTACAAGTCTTCCACCCGCACAACATATCCCCCGTCCCATTCAGCGCGATCACGCCCGTCCTCGCGTCGACACTGGCTACCTACGCAGGAAAGTCTGAATCTGAACCCCTGCCCATCATCCCATTGACGGAATGGATCCAGCGCGTTCGGGAGGATATTGATCGCTCACACAGTCAGGATGGCGATCTCCAAGCCGCGCTGGAGCGAAACCCCGCTGCGAAACTGGTGTCGTTCTTCGAAGGGCTTGTCGCGTCGGCTAATGGCGAGCCGGATAATGTTCTTGAGACGGCCAAGACTGCGCGGGTTAGTGAGACGTTACGTGCTGTTCCCGGGGTTAGGGATGAGTGGATTCGGAAGTGGGTTGGGGAGTGGTTGGCGTAGCTGGAGCTGCAGCTGGACGGGTTGAAGGATTAATTGGTTTGAAAGTTGAGTGGAGGGAGAGGCATGGGACAGCGTTCCTTTTATGTCGGGATATAGATTGCGTTGCTTTGCATTTTCTTTGTATTTTGTTTCCGTTGCGTTTGCGTTGTATAGATGTCTGCATTGTCTGGCGTTCGCATGCATGGAAATATTTTTGTATCAGAGAAATTTGGATCGTTCGATTTCCAGATTGATTTATTGTTTTCTCTAGACTTCCACTAGGTATACCTCTGGTACACTCGTCACCAATATCCCAGATTTTTCATCGTCCGGTTTTCAGCTGGCCGCGACTACACTTGCAGGAGTATACTCCTTTATTTATGTTTCGATTTCCTATATACTTATCAGTCCACACCTCCTCTTCTCTGTCTTTTCTGTTTGATGGCGCGTTTGATCCTCCTAACTCTGCTTCAAAGTCCTCCAGGCTGTAGGTACCGTACTATATTCATTTCCCTTGCACTTCGAAACTGTTCTTAACCAAGGGTCGAACGATTAACAGCCTAGACTCCTCTCATGTATGCCAGTGATTGAGGGATCGATACGAAGGGCTCTATAGTTTCCTTATGGTATAATCGTCGCCCTTTTTTAGTTTCTGTCATGGATACATCATGAGCTTAGACCTTTTGGATACACACGGATATAGGTATGGCCTGGAGTCCCGCGGGACATTAATGGGTCAGCATCGTCCACTGCTCTAGCCTCATATCTTCTCCTTCCTTCTATTCCACTCACTGGATCACTTCACGGAAGTGGCAACAGACGGCCTCCTGGATTCAGCCTACACGAATGGGATAATTAAAGGCATGATGTAAGGTGTATATTATTCATGGTTTTTGACCCATCGAGCCTCCGTATCTGAAGGCACTACAGCTCCTATATGCATAATGCATGTCTATGGCCGTGGTGCCTAGGTACGGAATGCACGAAATCCTTCAGCATTATGGAAGGATGGTTTGAAGGTAGTTAGGTAGAGAAGCACATGGGACAGTCCTAGACATTCTCTGCCTGTCCACCCTCCTTCCCCTCCAACCCCTCGCCAGTCTCATTCTCCTTCTCCTCGTCATCCCACATACTCTCCCTCATAAACGGACTGGACCGCCGAATCGCCGGCCCCTTGAGCACCAGCACAACAGGGACAACACTCAGCGCAACCCCAATGAAACCCAGGAGTGTCCCCGCCCATCCAAAGCCAAGGTTACTGAACAGCTGCGGGCTGGCCAGCGGCAAAAATGCGCCGAAGCTATTCCTCCCCAGACTGGCTGCGCTCAGCGCGCTGGCCGCATACCGCTCATACGCATCGGTAAGATAGTTCACGACGGCCATGTAGATACTGTAGATCCCGATTCCCGCCGCCGTGATTCCAATGGCCGGAACAATCCAGTGCACGTCCGGCTGGGAGGCCCAGCCGTACCAGAACAGGCCGGCTGCGAAGAGCAACGAGCCCGGGATGGAGGTGTACAGGCGCGCCTCGGGAATCGGCCTGCCAGGCTTCTCCTTGTTTCGGTTTCCGGAGCGCAGATACAGCCAGTCCTGCACGGGGTTGAAGACCGTGCCGATAACAGCGCCGACCGAGATCGCGAGCTGGACTAGGCCTGTCGCCATCGTGTCCCACCCGTAGTTCTGCCCGAATGTCTGCACGACGCTGCTGAAGAAGAGGTACAGGATCCCCCACGCGAAACTGATCCACAGCGTGAAGAAGATGACCACCGGCTCGGTGAGGAGCATTTTCGTCGGCCGCTTGAAGGATATCTGCAGGAGGCGCAGGGTCGAGGGCGCAGAGAGCTCCGCCTGCGCGTAGACAGGACGCCCCGTCTCCTTGCGGATTTTCGCGGCGCGCCGTTTAAGTATCACGTCTGGGCGGGTCTCACGCAGTATCAACCAGAAGATCGGCAGGAGCGCCGCGTTGTATATGATCTGGATGTAGAAGATCCAGCGCCACGGATCATTCTTGTGGATCTGCACAATCGCACTCCCGATAAACGGGCCCAGCGCGATACCCACGACACTCGTGAACCCGAACAGCGACATCGGCAGACTGCGCGCCTTCGTGCCGTACCATACATCCGAGATACTGCCGCCGACGATATTAATGGACACGGAGGACGCGCCGCCGCCAAAGAAGCGCGTTACGACGAGGGTTGCGAAGTTGGGCGCGAAGGCGGATGGAAAGAGCGAGATTATCAGGATGATGTAGGCGACGAAGTAGCCCGGCATGCGGCCGGAGGATTCGGTGAGCGGCACGAAGATCAGCGGCCAGAAGGCGGCGCCCATGTTCCAGGAGGTGGTGGCCCAGTAGAGGTTTGGGAAGGGGGAGTTCTGGACGTGGAATTTCTCGGCCATCCAGTCGTTGCCGCTGCCGTAGGTTCCTGCGGGGAGGCCGGTGAGGATGGAGCTGGGAGAAGAAGTTAGGAGTCAGCTTGTGCGAGGGAGATTGGTGAGGGAGAGGGCGTACATGAAGCAGACGGTGACCGTCAGCGCCCACTTGTATTTCGTGCTCCAGTTGAATCTGTGGCTGTCAGCAGGACGGACTTCATAGCAGACTCGGACGGTCTCACGGGTTATCCGGGTCATCCGGTCCATTCCATGAGTGAATCTCGACATCGACGCTGTTGTTGATCTCGCCGGTCATGTCGCTGTGGAAATAGCCCTTGATTCTGGCGCTGTTAGTTACTAGGTGCGGTCCCGGCTGGACGGGGACACAAACTTCTGGACCAAGCTCTTCTTTTGGCCTCGGCCAGTTAAGCCACCATCATGTGTGGGCGCAGTCGCCGCATGATTCTGCTCGGAAGCCATATTGAAAGCCCTCGATGCAAGCGCAAGATACAGCGCAGTTGTAGCTCAGCTCCAGCTCAGGCCCAACTTCGTAGGAGCGAAAAACCAGGGGAAAAGACATTTATAATCCGGGTCGAAAAAAAACCTGACAGGCATCGTCATGAATCGTCGTCCAGCAAGAACCATGATCCGGATGACAGTCCACTGGTTCGGCATCCCGAGACGCTTTGCAGGGTCCGGATGGCCCGGTAGGACGTCACCAGACCCACCCCGTGGACCCTTTCCACTCAGTAATCCGGCATCCCGATCGTAATTTGATAGTCGAGGGCCAGGCCCATTGTTTTTGATAGCGAGTGACATCATAGACGTTAAGAGCTTTTTTCAAGAGTATACCGATATCCGGATTTGGTGTTTAGGGTTGCGCTGGGTCTGCTCGGCTCTTGGAATCGGAATCGGAATCGGAGCTTGAGGTCGGATCTGCAGTGTTTGGCAGGAAGGCGACCACGTGGGAGGCATGGCCATATATCTTTTTCAGGGGCCATGAGAAGTGGGCTGGAGTGACTTATTGGTGTGATGTTTGTGGTGGTGAGTCTTCATAACAATATACGGTGCTACGCATGCTGACCGCGGGAAAATTATATATCTGACTCGGCATCCTGGTGCAACATTCGGCGTTGAAACTACCAAATAACCGGGACAGTGACACGACCATAAAGTCAGAGAAATAAGAAAGAAGACTGGAGTATCCCTGGTATGGGAATGACTATAAAGATCAACGATCAAACGCCCATGAAAACGACAAGCGAAGTTGATTCTGAGCCGTGGCGGGACAGACAAACGGAGGCACCTTGCACCTCCAGGACCAGATTAGATATCCGGCTTCTTTTATGCATAAGCCCGTTGACTCCATAAGCTTAATTCCACTTCATTCAGAAATCACCAAGGGGGTAAATGAGCGCCAAAGGACGGGATTATAATCGCATTAAGTTTGAATGATTGACATGCAGGACAGGAGTTTAGGCTGTTAACTAGATGAACTCGGCTCTGCCAGTCCTTTAATGAGCAACAATTCGTGGGATAATAGGAGAAGAGTAGGAAATAGATGACGGTGCCTCTGTGCTAAGTACCAGTACCAGGCGAGCCCCATATACCCAACCCCTGTAATCCAACCCTAATGCTCAATAAACATCTTCCCAAACCTCCCCCTCACACTCTCCCAAATCCCCGTCGCCGTATCAACCGCAACCTCACTATGCTTCACCTCCCTACCAACAAAATACCCCGCCTCAACCGCACCCCCCGCAAGCGGCCGTTCAAGGTGACTCTCACCACGACGCACCGTCCAATTCGCCAGCGGGAGCTCCCAGCTATTCCGGCTCGCAACAGACGGACACCCAAAGTACCGCGCCTTAGCTTTGTCCCGCCGAAGGTGCAGCTCGAAGTAGCCGCGGTAGTATCCCTCCACCCACTTGAGCTCGGGGTTGACGCTGTACGATTGAGCGATGGTCTCGGCGTCCGAGACGGACACTGTGCTTAGACCAGTGCTTGAGACGGCCGTGCCTGCGAATTCAACGCCCACGGAGCCGGCGCCCGTGATGTTGTTGTATGGGTGTGTGCCTTCCCAGATCATATCGGAGACCTGTACAATATGCCCCGTCGCCCGTTAGCATATGGTACCCTTCCCAAAGGCAGCGGACGCAATGTATGACAAGGCGTGTGTACCCAATTCACATGCGTATCGCCCGCAATATTAATATTATCGCCAATCCCATTCTCATACAGATGCCGCAGCGTGCGGTTCTGGTTCGCCCGGTACCCGGTCCACGCGTCGGCGTTGAAACTCAGGGACCCGTCTTCGTTAACCTGCTGGATATGCGCGAAGACGAGCTGGTTGCCGATGACGCGCCATTTTGCGCCGCGGCTGTGGGACTCCGAGAGGGTGCGGTAGAACCAGTTTTCTTGCCGCGGGCCTAGCAGGGAGCGTGCGGGGGAGTCGTGGATTGATTTTATGTATTCGGTGTTGTCGCCTGCGGTTTCAGGGGTTCAGTAGGGGAGGTTGGGGGAGGAGGGAGGAGGGAGAGGGCAGGGCAGGGCAGGGGAGGTACTCAGATCTGTGATGGAGCGGTCGTAGTTCCGCGTATCGAGCATGATCAGGTCGAAGAGCGTGCCCATTTGGAAGCTCCGCCAGATGCGCAGGCCGTCGTCCATGTCGACTTGTCTGTCACAAGTTCAAAGAGTGTTTGAGAAGCAGAGGGTACGATAGGAAATGCATACCGAATCGGCATCCACTCAAAGTAAGCCCGCACGGCATTCATCTTGCGCTGGTCCACGCTGATCCGTGGCCCATAGTTCACGAAGCTTTCCTCCGTGTTGCGCAGTCCGCTGAAGCCGTCTCTGTATCCGTTGTTTGCGATCTCTGTACTCGTCACATCAGCACCCTTGACCCTTCACCTCAGTAAGTCTGAAAAGAAAGTGATCAACCCACCATGATCATCCCAAACCGGAATCCACGGAAACATCTCATGGCTCGCGCGAAGGTCCTCATCCGTCCGATACTGTCCCAGTCTGGTGCGGTAGTCATAGAGACTAAAGATCTCGCGCGGCGGGATAACGGCGCGCTCGTCGACGCCCGGCACCCCGTTCTCGTACTCGTAGATGTAGTCGCCTAGGTGGATCACGTAGTCAACGCCGTCCTTGCGCGCGACGTTGCCGTAGGCGTTGAAGTAGCCGGTTGCTGGGACGTATCGTCAGGAAACTTCTCATTCTCATAGAGTAGGTGAAAGAAAGAGGCAGCATACGGTAATTGCTGCAAGAGTGCACAGCCAGCTTAACCTCCTCAACATCCTGGTCCGCACTAGGCGCCGTCTTCGTCCGTCCAAGCGGGGAGACATTCTCCGAGTCGCAGATACGAAACTGGTACCAGTAGCTCGTGAATGGCTGGAGACCGGTTGCTTCGACCTTGACTGTGTAGTCAACATCGCTGCTTGTGTAAACTTCGCCCTCATCGACGACACTGGCATTCGCACTGGGACTGTCCAAAACGCGGTACGTCACGCAAATCGGATGCGCGCTGGCCTTGGCGTATTTCTCGTTCTCGTGGTCGTATAGCGGAACGGCGCCGGATACTGTTGTTTCGCTGGCTGAGGCGTTGAGGGAGGGTGCGGCTCTCGTCCAGAGGATTACGCTGTCGGCGTAGGGGTCGCCTGAGGCGACGCCGTGGGTGAAGTGGAGCTCTGACGGGGTGTAGGCGGGTTCTGAGCGTTTTGTGAGGCTGCGGTGGTGGATTTTCGCAGTGTCGATGCCCAGGTTGATGTGGTTTTCGTTGAGTGATGGGCTGCGGTAGTTCAGGTTGGAGGTGAAGGAGGCGAGGGTGGTGGTGGTTAGGGAGAGGAGGCAGAGGGCGCCGGCGAAGGCGGCTGGAGGGGCCATTTCTGGTAGAAGCTGCCGAAGAGCTCGATCAACTCAAGCTATCTGGTAACGGGTTCTTAGGATGTAGATGTTACACTGCGACGAATGGCGTTATTTATATTGCATCTAGCCCTGACTGTTTGTTGGACCATGTAGCACGACGTAACCTCGACCCGTCTTGCAATATCAAACGCCAATAATCATCTTGTTTTCCGCCACATGCATTCACGACATACCCGCCTCATACGAAACATTCTGTGCCAGTCAATCAACGAGTCACGATCTTTGAGGGTACCTATATTAAGATGTACGGGTCGGCCTTGCTTGGAGAGAGGAAGAAGGTAGCGGACTCCGCAGCCAAGACGGATCCCAGGGAAGTTAACCAGCATCATAAATATCATTAACAAGAAACCGAGCCCGTGCAGGCACAATCTACCACCATTGGCAATGTGCCTGTTGCCGATCAGTCTTGTCCCTGCCACCCAAGCCCAGCCAAGCATTGGCACTGTGTCCGCCATAGAAACCGCTGCAATATGTAATCATTTAGGCTGCATTGGCGTACCTGCTTTCTTGGGTATACTTGGATCTCAAATAACGTTGGAAACCGCATATGGGAAGGCGAAGATCAGTACGCATATCGATACGTGGCCGCCAGGTCCCCCAACTTCTCCTCCTCCTCAGCCGTAACCTCCAGACCACTGGCAAGCATCCTCTCGCGCTGCTTATTCTCGTGCCTGACAGCAACGAAGTACACCGTCGATATGGCCGCCGAGAAACAAGCAAACGACAACCCGATAATATACCCATTGCGATAAAGCGGCGCGTCTTTCTCGAGGAAGGCGTATGTCGCAATGATACCGCCAACTGCACACCATACCACTCGTCAGCATCCAGGCCTATCCAAAACATCATATTGCGCAGGGGGCGGGGGTACACATACCATTCGCAAACCCAATCTGAAACGCCGTCCCAACACTCCTCCTCGTATGCCCACCCAGATTCATGCCAAACCAGCAAAGAAAAATCGGACTGGCGCTGAAGCACCCGCACGTAATCAGGAACAGCGCGCCGTACTCAATGTTGTGGTGGTGCGTGTCCTTGAGCGAGAGCAGCACGCCGTACCCCGCTATGGCTACGACCATGCCGAGCATCGTGAAGGCGTATCGGTGTCGGAGGTAGTCGGAGAGTGTGGCGGTTAGCATCACGCATGCGAAGGCTGCGGCCCAGGGGGGGACGGAGTAGAGTTGGGTTTTTATTTCTGGACGTAGTGAGTATAAGGAGGGAAGGGAGGGGATGGGGGGATGAGTACCGCCGTAGCCGTAGGTGCGGATTATCGTGGGTGCGAAGTAGGCGTAGCCTGTTGCCGGTTGGTATTCCATCTAGGGAAGGGTATACAGGGATGTGTCGGGGTCTGGGGAGACGTACTATACGCACTGACAACCTGCCCGAACATCATAAATGCCCCGATGAATATCTTCCCTATGCCACCCATCAGCCAACCAAGGTTTATGCCCCATCACCCACCGGGGCAGCGGCTGGAGGTATGCAATACTGACAATCCCTGAACACCGCAAGCACATCCCAAACCCCCATCCTCTCCCTCCCCGTCAACCGTCCCGTCTCACCCCCCATCTTCTCCCTGAGAAACTCAAGCTCCCCCTCAGAAAGCCACTTCCCTGCACAATCCTCCGGGAAATCCGGCAGCGCAAAGAACACCACCCCGGCCATGAGAATCGTCCCCAAGCCTTCAAGAATAAACACCCACCGCCACCCGCTATACCCCCCCACCCCATCCATCTTCCCAATGGCACTGGCAAGCAGACCCCCAAATGCACCGGCGAGAATCGTCGAGCTGCTGAACGCGCTGTATCGCTTCTGTGCTTCGGAGCGGCGGTACCACATTCCTAGGAGATACACACCTGACACGAACCCTAGTTGTTAGAGCGGGGGATGGAAAAAGCAACGGGAAGGAAAGGAGGCCAGGACGGACATACAACCCGGCGCCATCCCCGTCTCAAACAAGCCAAGGAAGAAGCGCGTTGCCATGAGCGCCTCCCAGGATCGCACGAGGCCCTGGAGTGTGCAGACTGTGCCGAAGCCGAAGACGCAGAGGGATACTGCACGCACGCACGCACGCACACGCACACGGTTAGCCCGAGCCGAGAGCAATTTGATAGGGAATGGGTAGGGTACGTACACCAAACATGCGGCCTCAACCTCCTCAGGAGAACATTACTCGGGATCTCAAAGACAATGTACGGGATGAAGAAGATCATCAGCGCGGCGTTGTACTTCGTCCCGCTCTCAATCCCCAGATCCTCTTTCATGCCGAGTGTCGCGGCGTTGCCGATGTTTACGCTGAGCCATTCGTTAGTTGGGTATAGCTTAGCTTAGCATACCCGGGTTTGGAGGGAGAGTAAGACTAGGGCAAGGGGTCGGGCGTACCGGTCCAGGAACGTAACCATGTACATGAAGCAGAGCATGGGGAGGAGGCGGAGGTCGATTTTCGTGAGGAGCTTGCGCCCGTTTATGGGGTGGAGGGGTAGGGTGTGTGAGCCGGTTTCGAGGGGTTTGGTGTCGGGGTCTGGATGGGAGAAATGTGTCAGTAGGGTACGAGTCGAGCAGTGAGGTTATGCATGGAATGTTGCGCAGAGGGGACTGGGTGTGTGGTGGATTGGCTTGGGGCAGTGATCGTTGTACCTGGGAGTCTCATAGTGACAGATGTCGTGTCTTTCCCTTCCATTTCTCAGATCAGACTTCTGGTCGTATATTGGAGTACCGAGCTTGCTGTGGAATTAAGTTGATTGATATTGTGTCCCGGCGGATCCTCATTTATATTCACTCGTTCACACATGGAGGTGAGTCCCGACGCTGGACTGTCCAATCCCGCTTGCTGTTCGAGTCCATCCGAGTATGCGCCCCAATCGATAAACTCCTTACCTCGCCAACTGACTGGTTGGGAGATAACCAGTTCATCGTCTAACTCGCCACTTTGGTTCTCTTATTATTGTCATTGGGTCGAGGTGTAACCATGCGGCGAGCATGTGGTAGGACGGTGGTTGGTGTTCGCCGTACGGGGCATTGTATCATGGGACCGCGTGATCATCACCTTGCATGGATTTGGGTTTGGACTGGTCTGTCCTTGAATTAGCTGGGGCAAGTTGTTGAAGAATTTCGAGGTCTAGATTGTAGATGCCTGAGATCAAGAGGTGTCTGATAACTGCAGGGCTCGTGAGATTCAGGCCCATTGATCTACGTCTATCCCCTGCATAATTCCGCTGGGGAAAAGGCTTGTATGAGTGATTTTGCCGTGTGTCACAAGGAATGCATTGCCTGATTGTGAGCATACATCGGAGTACAAAGATGCATAAAACCATGCATAACAGAGGCCATGAGAACTACAATCCCCGCACTCCGCAGGGGTAACCCTTCGCCCAGATTCCTAAGTTCAAAAGCACACATAAACCTAAGCAAAGCCTTCAAGCGGACCCGGCCTCATCCATGAAGGTCTCACCCTCATACTCCCCGTAACTGGCATAACTCCCGTAATTCCCGTACGCGCCGTAGTTGCCATACTGACCTGGGCCAGTAGGGGACGCCGAGCTGGTCGTTGAAGAGGTTGTCGAGGTGGATGTAGAAGTAGTCGTAGAGGTGGTCGAAGTGGTCGAAGTGGACGTAGAAGTAGTCGTAGAGCTCGTTGAGGAGGATGTCGAAGAAGTCGTAGAGGTGGTCATCGAAGTCGATGTAGAAGAAGTCATAGAGGTCTCCGTCGAGGTGGACGTGGAAGTCTCAGCCGACGAAGTCCATGTCGTGTGCCCGGGGTGAGTCGAGTGCGAATGCGAGTGGCTGTGCGTCGTACTCCAGGAGGAGCTGTCTGTCGAGGTCGGCACTTCGTCCTGTCGCTTTTGGTTCGCCAGGGTCGTAACACGATCCTGTTCGTTCATGTCTGCCATTTTGGCGTCGACGGTGCCGGTGGGTGACTCGGTTCCCTTGCCTAGCATCCAGTCTGGGACGTTCTCGTTCACATTCTCTTGGGGAGCCATCCTCAGCTTGACAGTGTCGACATCTACCTGCTCGGGAGGCACATCCTCGTCGTCACCCTGGCCCAGCATCCAGTCTGGTCCATCCGCCTTCTCGTTCCCGGTGGAGACCATCATCCTTGCGGTCTGGTCGTTTGCCGGCTGAGCAGGCATCTCCGGGTCCATACCAAGCATCCAACCGGGTGACTCCTTGGAGTTGGAAGTCATCATCCTTGCGGCGTTGTCGCTGGACATTTGGGGAGCCGACTCCTTGCCGAGCATCCAGTCTGGCGATTTCCAGTCGAGGAGCCCGGAGAGCAACCCTGCAGAATTGGCTTTGACATTCGCAGGCGACTGGTCATTATCCGCGTTGAGCATCCATTCATCACCAGTGGCGGCGTCTCCCATCGGCCGTCCGAGCACCAGGCCCAGCTGCGCCGCCAAGGCGATGAGTCCGACAGGGGTGAGGTGCATGGTGGGCGAGTCTAGACTGCTGTGGCGTTGGGTAAGAAGCTTGAGTTGGCCGTCGAGATGATGATCGAATTGCGAGAGGGCTGAAGGCCGTGAGGACCAGCAATACTTATATCCATCTACCAACGATCAAACTCCCCGAGCTCTATTTGGATCTGAGAGGCAAGCTGCGTTCTTACGCGTAAGTTCCAGACTCTCCGGGGAATACCACGACGGACGGGAGACAGATGTTCTTCCTCCCTTCCGCGCCGTCGCTCTTGTTTGATTGAAGGCCTTGATCCGGATGCAGTGTCACCTCAACCCTTGCACCCCCGCGGGGTTCCGGTGACTGAATCGCCCTTGCCGTTTCCCTTCTCCATCCAGGTCTCGAGCTGGCTGGCAGCATCCGTTCGCTATATGATCTGGAGTTCTCGTGCATTCCTCCGCATACTCCTTGCTTGGTCGACAATTGCGAGATCTGCTCCCCCTGCACATCTGGTCAGGACTCTACTGCGGTATTTCCAGGTGCCAGCTTCCAAAGCACCACCCCGCTCTCTATCACATCTTTCGCGAAACAGAGCTGCCGGTACGCGATGCGTCGCACCCGCCGGTATCAAACACGTTGGACACCCGCGTAGAATCCCGCCCGAGGGGATCGGCCTAACATTTGAACGCTGAAATACACCGGTGTACACCCAGAATTTGTCTTGCCGAATTCTGCGGATGGGTTGCTTGCTTCAACGGCGTTGCACTGGTCCTGGCAGAAATGTTCACCTGCAGCCTGCAGTCTGCAGTGTTTTCTTCCCCGCCCCCTTCTTTCTTCAGGGTGCGATGGAAGTCTAGATTTAGATCTGCCAAGTCAGTCGTCGGAGAGACTTCGCTGAGAACGATTGAGATGAACTACCTGCCGCCCCAAACACTCTTTCTCGAGAAGATGCGCCCGGTGGAGGATACCGATGAAGGCAACCACGACCACGAGCGACTTCTCGACGAAGGCGAGGCCACGCACTCATGGACCCCATCAAAGAAGAGGTTAAAGCAGCGCGACAATCATAGACGGGCGTGGACGGTGTCGCTATGTGTCTTCGCGTCCACCCTGTTCTGTATGGTGGGCATCTCTGTCGGATACTGGGTTCATGATCTTGACGAGACGTGCTCACGCCATACGACTCACTACTGTACATCATCAGCTTGAACATATCAAACGAATTGCTGACTCGATTGGGCAGCCCCCGTGCTCTCAAACGTCCCGATCAAATACCAGCGCCAGCGTTTCAACGGCTCGCTATTGAAGCAGAACATCTACCGCCAGGACGCGAGCCCCGAAGTCGATGCTGCATGGGAAGCCATAGGCGCGAACTGTACGTTGCTTGTCTCTTTGACCCGGGACGACATGAAGGATTGCTTACCGCGCTAGACCGACCCATCCGTGTCCCCGTCGACCAAGCAGCGATGTCCGGCATCACACCAGGCCAGGTCCAGATCAGCGAAGCTTATGGCGGCGGGTATCCAGCGAACATCGAAGGGTTCCATCATCTGCATTGTCTGGTGAGTCCTGCGATAAAGACCACACCGTGAGAGGATACACATACACATCTAACTCGGAATACCTCGCAGAACCTCCTCCGCCAATCCCTCTACTACAACTACAACTACTACCACGCGAAAGGCGAAGGCGCCTTCAAGAACGACGACTTTATCGTCCGACGGCATGTTTGTATGTCCACCGTTATCCCCACTCACCCATATCCCCCTCTAATCCCTCACAGCGCACTGCCTCGATATCCTCCGCCAACAGCTAATGTGCACGATCGACGTCGGCGTCCTCGGACAAGTGTGGATCCACCCCGAGCATCCGAGCCCGTTTGTCGACTTCAATACCGAGCACGTGTGTCGGAACTTCGAGGACATTCGCGCTTGGGCGGAGATGAATCAGTTGCCTTTGCATGAGCATGGACATGGACATGGGCATGGAAATGGAGATGAGAACGGACATGGGGCTGAAGGGGCCACGGAGGGCTTTCTGATCCCGCCGCAGAGAGGAAGCGTGCTTAGCGAGGTGCCGTGAGCTGTATCTCTACGTTATCGTTGGACCGAGTCTCAATGCGCATTCTATTTCTGGCAATGGGCAATGGTCTTCCATGAGAAGCTTGGTAGACCGTAGTATCGTAAGCCGCGTTTGTTATCTAGTAGTAGTAGTAGTAGTGATATTTAACGCCCCGGGGATCGCTAGGCGTATGCCTATTATTTTAAACCTTCCTTAGGGTATAAGGGCGTGCCACTACTAGGTAAGTAACTTATTTAAATAATTTATATATAAAAAGGCTTTTTATTTTAAAGGGTAATTTTTATTAAAGCTTATAAGCTAAGCGCCTGTTTTTTATATATTATTTTTATATATAATTATTAATAGGTATTATTTATTATATGTCCAGGGTTTTAGTTATAAAAGGTTATAAAAACTTACCTTATTATAAAAAAAATATATTAGCTAAAGCTAGTTATATTAAAAAAAGGTATTTAAAATAAAAAAAAAGCATAATAAAATAAAAAAAATTATTTAATATTAAACTAGGTAATTTTAATAATATTAAGTCGCGGGGTGCCCTAGCAAAAGTAAATAAACTTATAAAAGTTTATAATTTTAAATAATAATATAAAGCCTTTAGGCTTTAATTTATAAAGGTATTTTAAGGCCTTAGCCTTAATTATTAATAATATTATAAAATATTAGGGCTATTATAAAAAGTATTATTTAAAATAATAATAAAAAACTAAATATTTAAAACTTTTACTTATCCCGCAGGAGCAAGTAAACTTAATATTTTTATATTAAAAATACTTATAATATTACTTAAAGTTATTATATAAAAACCTAAGTATAAATTAATAATATAAAACTAATTATTTTAATACTAGTTTTAATAATAGCTTAACTTAGTAAGGCTTTAACTTTATAATAAGTTATTTTTTATATTATATAAATAGCTTTATAAAGGTGCTTTTTTATTATTTAACCTAGGTAGTATAATATATTTACTTATATAAGTTATATACTTTACTTATTATAAGCTATGCCTTTAAAAAATTAAGCTTTAAAAATTAGGCCTTTATAAAAGCTATTTTATTAGCAAGCTTATTAACTAGCTTGTTACCTTTAATATTTATATAACCAAGAAATTACCTTAAATAAATTATATATTAATTTATAAGTTAATATAGCACTTAAAAAGCCTAATTAAAAAATAATAAGGGTTATTTACATATATATTAAATTATTAAAATATTATTTATATAAAACTAATAAATAAAAGCCCTAAACAGTTTTTTAATTACTACTTTTAGTTTTTAAAGTATATTAATAGTTTTAATATTATAAATATAAAACTAGGCGCTAATTATTAATAGCCCCTATACTTAAAAATATTATTTATAATATATTATATAGCTATAACTTATATAATAAATACCTTAATATATTTATTTAAAATTATTACTAAAAATTACTATTTTTATTATTAGTAGTATTTATTATTATTATTTAAACTTTTTTATAGCTAGCTTCTTAGCCTTGCCTTTAATAAGGTTTTTTAAATACCTTTAAAAGTAATAAGGGTGCGCTAAAATTAGCCTTAAGGTATTTAAAAAAAATATCCTTATAATTTATACCTTAGTTTTTAGTTTTTAGCAGGAGCTAGCGCCCTAACCTTATAAGACTTTTAGTAATATTACTTATATTATTAATAAATTTTAGTTATTTACTAACTAAAGCCTTAGGGTAAATTATAGTTATACTTTTTTTAATATTATTATTATAAAAAAAAATTTAATATTTTTAAAAAAAGTTATTATAAATATTATTTAAAAAACTAAAAGTACACCACGGGCGGCTAAAGCTAATATTTTTTTAATTACTTTAATATGCTAGCCTAGTTAAATATTAACCTTTAGGTCTTGCGCGTGTTTTTTAGGCTTAGTTTAATTATTATACCATGCCTTTATATTATATAAAAAGCTAAAAATAATATAAGTAATAATTATTTTATAAAGTAAATTTGCGGGTAAACCATATATTATATATATTAAATTATAAATATATTAAGCTACTACACGGACTTTAACTACTTATTTAATAATATATTAATATTAAAAAAATTATGTATTAAAAAAATATTTAGCTAGTATAGCGCAAGTTATTTTTAGCCTAGTATAATAATAATAAAAATAATTATTAACTAGTTATTAATTACTAGTAATAATAACTTACTATACTATTTTTAGGTAATATATAATATTTTTAATTTTTTAAATATAAAGGCTATTTTATTTTATTTTTCCTAGGCTAATATACTATAAATATTTTTTATTAAATATTTATAATTTATATAAAAAAAGTTACTTGCATGGCTAAAATAAAAGTTATTTATATAACTAAAGTATAGGATTAAGTTTACTAGTAATAATTTAGCTATATATAATAAAAATAATACTAAAAAAAGGCAAGCCTTATAGCATGCTATAATATACTAAGTATATTATTATTATAATAAATTTTAGGCGTATTTTTATACTTTATTTATTAAAAAAGCTTATAATTAAGGCCAGGAGCACGCAAGGCTAGCCTTACTTTATTATTTACTAAAGTAAGTATTATAGTAAAATAATATTAAAAGTGTCTAAAATATTTATAATAACTATAATAACTGTCAACGTTGGCCAGCCACTAGCGGCATATACTGCCATTGGCCACCGTTATTAACCCCTTTTCTAAATCTAGAGCTTAGTTAGTTTTAGTCAATAATTAATTTATTATACTTTATTAAGATTATTGTTTATAATAACAATGGTAGCATGTCTTAAACATGCTAGTTAATTAAAATTAATAACTTAATTAAAAACTTTAATTAAGTTAGGCTATATAATATTAACTAAGTAATTCTTAGTATTAGGAAAAGCCTACATCTTTTTTTAAACCTTTAAATTATTTACTTAATTATTTACTTAATTATTTACTTACCCTTTATTAAGCTAAATAACTACTTAAATTCCCAAGCTTTTAAAAAACTTTTATATATATTAGTTAGCTGGCTATTACTAGCTAGCAAGCTCCTCCTCCTTAAAAACCTTTTTTTTTTTAATTAACTAATAAAATTAGCAAACTTGCTTTCTTAATTCTCTTTTTTTATAACCTTTTATTTTTTACTTATTTATTAAAAAATTATTAAACTCCCGAACTCCTATTTATTATTTATATATATTAGTTAATTAGTAAGTGTTTTTTTTATTAATATAAAAAGGGCCTAGACGGACTGGGACAACACCTTAGTAATATTAGTATATTAATTAAAGGTTTTTTAGCAGGTTAAACAGCAGTATATAAAAAAATTTAATTAAAAAATTATATTATTTATTAACTTTATTATTTATTATATAGCTATGCTATTTTTAACTTAGTACGCTTACCCCCTGGCATGGGATATTAATTAATTAGTTTTTTACTAAGCTATAAAAAATCTTTTATTTCTTGGCTAAAAAATAAAAAATATATAAATTAATAAGTAAAAGGCTTAAAAAATTATATATTTCACGCCTGTAAATTTATTTTTATTAAAGCTAAAGTAATCTTTAGGCTAAATATAAGTAAACTTACTAACACATATTAATAATATTACTGGTTTAAAACTAACCTTTAACCCAAAATTAATTAAGCAGGAATAAACCTTTATAATTAAAAACCATAATTTAATAGTTACACAACCACTTACTAGTAATACCGGCTAGCTAATTAACTTTAATACTAGCTAGCTAACTAACTTTAGTACTAGTAAATATTTTATATACCTAATTTTTACCTTTGCCGCGGATGTTCTTTTATTTTTAGGGCTATTTATAGGTTTATTTACTTCTTTAGCTATTACCTTTTAACCTGGCTTATTTACACCACCTTAGCCTACCTAAATAACTAGCTTATTTATATTTCTAACTAAACTAATTAAATAATAGCTAAATACTTTGGCTGCTTATAATTTAGTAAGCTAGTAAACTTAATTAATTACTAGTTAATATTTTTAGTAATATTTAAAATAAGTAATAATAAAATTAATTATAAAACCCAGGCGTTCCCTTATCTTACTAATTATAAAAAAAGGGGATAATATAATTAATATTAATATTAATACTAATACTAGTTCTTAAGTTTATAATATAAATTCCCGCGCGGATCTAGATTTTTAATAGCCTTTTTAATAGCCTTTTTAATAGCCTTTTTAATAGCCTCTTAACTCCGGCCTATAACATGTAAATTAGTAACCTTTTAATCCCAAACCTTTTAATCCCGGTCTTTAACAGGCAAATTAACTGCCTTTTAATCCTGGCCTTTAATAAATAAATAAAGACTTTCAATTAATTTTATAATAAAAATTAAATAGCTATCTAAAAATTATTAATAACAGGCAAGCCGCCTTTAAAACTAAACTAAAAATTTTTTTTAATAATTTCCAGAGAAATAATTAAAGTAATAAAATATAAAAGTTAAAAAATATATATAAATAAAACCTTAAAAATATGTATAAAGTTCCTAGCCCGGCCTAACAGCTAAAACTCTATCCTAAAAAACTAAAGGTATATCCGCAAGAGTTTTAAAAACAAAATTTAAAGCCTTAAAAATAAGATTTAAAGCTGCTAAACTTTTTTTACTAAAATTAAACAAAACATAAAAAAGGACGCGGGCATAAAAAAGGTGGATTTATTTTATTAGCTAATAAACTAAAACTAGTTTCTTATAAAAAAAGCCTTAGCCAGCGGAAGCTATGGTAAAAAATATTATTAAAAAATAAAAAATATTAGTTACTTTTAGCCTAATAAAGTTAATAATAAAAATTTATTAATAAAAAAACAAGGCTTAAAAACTTTTTATAAAAATATATATACCTTTATAAACTATATTCTTAATATAGCAATTCTTAAAAAAGAACTAGTAGTAAAGATTAATATTTATAATTATTTAAAAAATATTATTTTAAAATAATATACCACTAAGCTATCCCATGTAAATAAGTAAAAGTTATA